TCCTCGTCGTTCTCCTCTCTGTAGAGCGACGAGTCACTGTCACTTGTGTCTCAAGGAACAGAACAAGCAGTGCAGAGAGGGCCAACGATCGCTCTGTGCACCGCCAACGTCGTCGAATCACGATCCACGATTGTGACGTTCGGCCAGTCACTTGGAGATACCAAGAGATGGGTAAACACTTCACTGACATCGAACTTGCGTCGACGTCTCACTGATCTGGCTAACCAGTCGATCTGGGGCTTATAACGTGCCAACCATGGCATGCCCAGTATACAATAGAATGCATAATTCATTGCGATCACCAAGAAATCATCATTACTGCGAAAGTCATCAAACGTATACGGCAACGACACTTCGCGTCGCGATACGCGGTGTGGTTTCCCATCAGCCAACTTGACGACGACTTGGCCAGGTCCCTCACGGACCTGAATGCTTGGAGGCAGCATCGATAAACAAGATTCACGAAAGAAATTATTTGTTGCTCCTGAGTCCAGGAGTGCTCGCAGAGGTCGCCGGACGCCGGCGACATGTAAACTGACAATGATCAGACGTGAATCACCACTCGTAGTGGTGGCATTTAACCGTGCGCGTATCGCAGGAGGACTGGAAGGTTGGGCTGCCACCGGGGGACCCGGACCTCAGTTCCAACCAGTAGGGCGCCCTGCACCTACTGGTCCCGACCGTTTTTTGGACGTGCGGCCGGTACAGCACCCTCATGATGGGCGTCCACTACTTGCACCGATATTGGAGCTGGCGCACGGCACTCTGCCGCGCGATGTCCTGGCTTGCGACAACGAAAGCAAACCATTTGACGCCCGGTGAGAGCGTCACCTTTATGATGAAAGACACGTCGCCGGTCACTCGACGACTCAATAACGTCGATCTCCATAGGTTCTGGACCAGAAGGCCGGGGAACGATGACGACCGAGGGTTTGGCATAGCCTTCGTGACCCTAAAGTCTTCACGGACTGCGATGGCAAATGCCTCCTCCAATGTGGCAGGCTCGGCGCGCTCCAGCGATAAGCGGGTCTGCCCCTCACGCATACCACCCACAAAAACATTCACCTGCGTGTACATGTCCATGGGTGCGTGATAATACACGACACCAGATGCCTAGCCATCTGTACGTAGTCGCGCATCGCCATTTTACCCTGTCGCATCGACAGGAATCTTGATCGCACCAGTTTCTCCTCTTGTGGTGGCTCGAAAGCAAGACGAAGATCGTCCTGGATGGTATCCAAGGTGGGGAATGCGTGCTCGTCCACAACGAGCTTACCAAGGGCCCACTCCTTGGCCTTCCCGGTGAGGCGGGAAAGAAGAAAGTTGACCTTCGCCTGTGGAGCCTCATGAAGTCTCGAGGCGATGGCGATATCAGCTTCTCGAAATCATCAATTCAGCGACAACCGGTCCTTACCTTCTCCAGAGTAGGAGGAGGTTTCCATCTTCACGGCCTCATTACGTGAAGGGCGCGAGGGAGTTAAGCCTCGCCGGTTGGATTCGGCGAGCTCGCGTGCCATAAACTCATGTATGGCGAGACGTTGCGCGTCAGGGGTCGCTGATCTCATCAGCGACGCGACGAATGCCTCTCCCGATATCGCCGCGAGGCGATTAAGGGCATCCCACTCAACACCAGTAAGATGGGGGAAGGTCGCGTGCTCCAAAAATAAGTCTGGAGCGTCAAAGTACGACGATTCGCTCATCCCAAACTCGGGCATAGGAAGGACTACAAAGTGCTACCAGGTGTAACGGGGCTAGAACGTACCGTCACTAGCTTACACGTGCGCTCGAGGAAGACTCAAGCCCAAGTATTAGGTATTAAGTAAATTTAACTCTGATTTTTATTTTGGTTTTAATTCGTACTAATTACGAAATTTTTAGTCGTAATAAATACGACAGTATTCCCGCCTTTCGGGAACCACACAATTTCAGGTTGATTTATCATTGGTCCATATTGGGGACTTTAGACCCAATAATAAACCAATAATATATTACCACGCTGTGCCCGCTATTCGGTCCCAGCACCTGCCTACATATGTAATTGTTTATTTGTGTTAATAATATATGTGTAATGTAGCCCATTACATGATGTGTGACGACAAATGTTGTCTTTGCGCAAGTAAACACGGAATCCTTTCGTCTCGTGGCTTCGACCAACGATGATGCCTACTTAAGCGCGATGGGCTAACGAGCCCTTTCGTGGATCACGGTACACCGTTCAATGCGAACCAAAGACGACAATTTTGACGTAGATCTGGAGCTCGCTTCGTCATAACTCCAATTGGGGATGCGCGCGTCGGGTTCGCGCTCGTCGGGCTTCTGTTGAGTATGTATTGCGGCGAAATCTTTGGTTTTAGCCAGGAAGATGTGGCAGTAGTTAATCATATGATTGACATAATTAACAAGATACCGGTTCCGCAAACGATCACAGGTGTCAATGACCGTTTGAGATCGGAGCATATCACCTAGCCGACACGATCAATTGGAGAGTGCGCGCTGGTGTCCTTTTTGCTTTGTCTGTTCTTCGTCTGTTTGCTCTGAGCACACGTGATGCACGTTATGCGTCTGTGATCCGTGATGCGAGTTCCACTGCCCGGGTTGTTTGCGATCCTCTCGATCTTGTCATACACCATTCGCTCTAAAATGTCCAAACGGGTCTTCAGGCGGTCATACCCCTGACGGTCCCTCGTCCTCACATCGCGCAGATCCGAAGTCAGTCGTGAGACTTGACTCTCGAGATTTGTCACCTGCCTCTTCAGCGCAGCGGACTCAGTCTTCGACTGAACAGCAGCAGGGTAGGCAGCCGCGAGTAGGTGGGCGTAATCGCCGCTCCTATCGGGCGCCACCTGTGTTGGTGGACACGGAAGGAAATACGCGCTTCCTTGTTGGAAGGCTGTTGGCCCACCGGTTTGTGAAGCGAAAGCTCCAAATCCTTGTCCAGTGGAAGGGTTACCCAACGAGCTTTGACTCGTGGGAGCCTGTGGACGCATTGCGCGTTGACGTGCCTGGGCTGGTGGCTGCTTATGTGAAGCAGCACCAGCTGGCGTCTTTCTTCTAGGTCCGGAAGGACTAGCAGAAGAAGCGTGGCGAGAATCAATTGGGGGTCGCTTACCACCCAAAATTTCATGCGCACGCTTTATGGCGAAGTTTATTCGCTGCGACCGTTGTTTCGTTTCATCTACATGCAACGTTACACGGCGCCGAAGTTCAGCTTCATATTCGTCGGCTGTTTCGTTAGAACGCAGCACGACTGGAATTGGGAAAGCACGACCAAGTGCTTTGCCCTGCTTTTTCCACAAGGGAAAGACGCTATAAAACTTATGAGTGTCAATAGTGGCACGCTGCAAAAGCGCTGCGCTAGAACCATCTGAGTTTATCCACTCAAGATGGAGGTGGCATTGGTGGCAAGCCACCACTCACGTAGCCGCCCTCGCGACGGCGGGCGAGTGAGGCCGAAGGTGTACTTGGTGGAGCTTTAAGCTCACACTCACCTGAGTCTGACTCTCCATTATGGATTGTCAAGAGAAGTTACATCTGACTACTCCTTTCGAAGTAGCGCGCTCAGTCTTAGTCGCTGCGCTCGGAGGCGCAGACGACGAGGTTTTACCTTCGCTTGTAGGAAGCATAGATGCTTCCTCAAGGACGGGTGCCTCAAATGATGGGGACATATGTCCCATCAATGCACTATGCTCATCGCCACTTTGGGGTGATGGCAGTGGTGTGGTCTCATTGTAGTCCACAACGAGAGATGGATCTTCATCCACATTATCGTGAGATGGAAGATTCACCCCAGTGCAGACGCACTTTGCGACGGCTGCGATAAATCGCGGCGCGTGCGCTTAGTGCTGGACTGCATGGGTGCCTTTGCAGGCGACCCATCAGGCTTACCACGTTTCGGTGGCATGAGTACTGAGCAGACTAAAGCGGCGCGTTTATAACGGCTCGCAAGTCTCTCTGTCTCTTAGCGATGTTTTACAAAATGCAAACATCGTTCTAAAACGGGGGATGGTGTAACAGGGCATCTAGTTACACGTAAACATTAAGTAATATACTTAATGTTTGGTCTAAAAGTATGTATGATTACTTTTGACCTGTCACTTGTGTGCGATACACAAACGTGATCCACCCTCGTCAATGTGATATCCATTGATGGATTCACATGGGAAGGGATGAAGTTAGTTGAAGCTAGGCATCGCGACGTCTCAGAAGGACGTCAGTTGCGATCTTAAATCTAGATTTAAGTTCACACGTCAGGATACGCTTCTAAAGAGTCGCGTATCCATTCTATATACATATATAGCCAATCAGTAGTTAAGTTTATATTTAATTATAATTAATTAAATATAGCTCAGTCTTGAATTTGCCAAATCAAAAGCACCACACACGAGAAGCTCTAAAAAGCTTCTGCGTGACGCCAGTGACTTCTTGTAAGAAGTTCATTGCACGCTCGCGTAAGCGAGAGGCAACTGTTGGTACGACTGTTTAAGCAGTCGACCAACCTCCTAATCACCCTCGCACGCGAAGGTAAGACGGTCTAACCGCTTCCTCGATTGTGCTGAAGGTGTGCGCTAAGTAGCACGAGGCGCACAAGCGAGGAAGCGCCCGTCTACATTTTCCTACACTACTCAACTGTGGGCATACGATACTCCAGATCCAACCTTAAAGGTCCACAGTTGTCGCCAGGTTTATGATCACTGTCCTGGCGTCACTTTCTTGCGGACGAGCAGACAGTAGTATTTGGAATCTTCGACAATCTTGTCAGTTCTGTCCATGCTTCATGCGAAGGGTCATGCGGTGTTACATTCATCGCCTCCACCACCGCCTCAAACATCTCATTCGGTTGCACTGTTCACTTCTGTCCTTCAGGCTCCGGCAGGCGTGGTTGGAGCGCTCCTCCGAACGAAGGCTCCCTGTTTGAGAGCTACTTAACAGTAGCTCTTAATAAGTACGTTTTTGTCTCGAAAACCAACAATAATTAACATGCAATAATTTATTACACAGTAATGACTTGGCACGCTCAGGCGTGTAGCGGCGATGTCGATAGTGCGTTATTACAAGCACATCAGGTATTAATCTCCCATAAAGATGCAATTGTTTATGCAATACAACAATTGGATCTAGTCCGTGTCCATTTTGCATCGAGTTTTTCTATTTTCATCTTGGAGTGTGTCATTGATCGACATCCTTTATGTGCCGTTCGTACTGACTTTGTGCTTCGAGGAGGACAAATCCAATTGCATTCGTGGGTATTGGACGTCAGTGGACACTTGGAAGACACTTTTGCAACGTTAGAGCCGGTCAAAGTAACGTCAGACGTGACGACGTGGCGACTGTCGCTGACTTTGGAGACCAAATTTCCACTGGCCGTCATCTCTGGAAGCAATACTATTGGACTGGAATCAAGTGACTCTCGCATTGATTTGTTGCCTGAAATCATTCGGCAGCGGCAGATTGACCTGGACAGAGCCATATACCGCCAACTGCGGACGGCAGGAGTACTTAGAGCACCTGAAGAAGGACAAGTTGTGCCTGTGAGGCTGCTAGGAGACACGTACATCTTCCGGATCGATGCAGTGATGAAAAACAGAGAAACGATGAAGAAATCACGCATATTTGTGAAAGGATGGAGTGTGATAGGAGCGGAGGGTGACGAACAGGAAACAACAGAGCTAGTTGAGACAATTGCGGCGCTTAGTGTGCAAGAAGACGATCAAATCAAAGTGACACAGGCGTCGTATGAAAGTGAGCTGAGCACTCGGTTGTGGAAAACTGGCTTTGCAGGATACACTGCATTCGTGCAAGACGTACTGCTTAATCTCGCCCTCATCCTAAAGCGTGGAAAGAAGATGCTTGACAATGATGTGGAGATGGAGCAGATTGGATCACATGGAATACTGATCTCGGGTGTACATGGTGTGGGAAAGTCCTTAGCACTTGTAGCTCTGCAGCGTGAGCTTGTTCGTAACAATATCGAAACATGGAGGATCGATGGTATGTCGTTGCTAATGGGGGCTGAGAGCCCAGCGTTTCCAACGGCTTATGAGTATTTGAACCACGAGCTAGAACAGCGTTTCCCGGAGTTGGAAACATTAGCTGATGCCAAGACCGAATGTAGGCCGTCTTTGTGCGTCGGTGTTGTGCTAATTGATGACTTGGACGTGCTCTTCCAATCGGCAGATGGTCAAGTCGCCGATGGTTCCGAGACGCAGCTTCCGCAACTTGGTAGTGCATTGCTTCGATTGATTGACGAACTCAGCTTTCGTAATACACGTCTAGTGGTTATTGGAACGACCGTGAGTGCTGATGCAAACATGCCACCAGCTGCTAAACGTACGGGGCGATTTGGCAAGGTTTTGGACTTGGTCGTCCCTACTGAGCAGTCTCGCCGTGATATCTTGCGACGGCATCTTATCGGGCTGCCATTACGAGGAGAAACGAACGTTATCGCTAAAGAAGATGCAGGAAGTTTGGCCTCGCGTGTAGCGGTGTTAACTGGGGGCTATGTTGCGAAAGACCTAGTACGTATCTGCCGAAACGCAGCCGCTCAAGCGCATGTTAATTGTGCCGATAACGATGATTCAACAAAGCCATTGGTCGGATGGACGGAGTTGTTGTGCGCTCAGCAGCAGGTGAAACCTTCGCAACTTCGGGAGCTGAATGTGGCATCACCTGGTGCGCTGATGGATAGACAGATCGCTTTTGCTGGCTATGCGGCCGTTCAAAAGCAGCTTTATGATTTCGTTTCACGAAAGTTTCACCCGTCTTCGGCAATGAACGTACGTTCAGTATTTTGACCATATTGGGTTTAAAACTTCGTGATCCTGTTAACACAATCGTTTGTAGCGTTTGGGAATCACCAACGCATCAGGAATTTTGCTTTCAGGTCCGTCAGGTTGTGGTAAGACATTGCTTGTGCAAACACTGGCAAGTCAAGTTCAAGTCAACTTTGTATCTGTGAAGGCAAGTAGGGCCACCCACACCCCGTGGCAACACATTTGTGCTGAACCCTCCGTCTTTTTGCTTGTGCAGTCATCAGAGTTGCTGTCCAAGTACTTCGGCGATAGTGAAAAAGCGGTGCGCCAACTTTTCGGTACGTTGCGACTTAGTTTACGAACAGTGGTGATATGCTGACAATTGAGCTGTAGCTCGAGCACGTGCTGCCTCACCTTGCCTCTTGTTTTTTGATGAGTTTGACTCTATCGCACACAAGCGATCTTTCGGTGAGGGCGATGGAGGCAGCAGTGGAGGAGGAGTCTATGCACGAGTACTTTCCACATTCCTCAACGAGATGGACGGTGTAGGGTCCCAGCGAGTGTCGTTGTCATCCGTATCGCACGCTAAGGGATCATCTGCAGCGGACACTAGCGGCATCCTTGTTGTGGCCGCAACGAACAGAAAAGAAGCGCTGGACGCTGCTCTCCTTCGTCCGGGACGCATTGACAAGCTTGTTGAGTTGGGCTTTCCGACACAACAAGATATTCAGGTATACGACACTGCACAAGTTGTAACACTCTCGGGTTCGAGCTGACGGATTGCTGTTTCGTGTATAAACTAGGAAATTCTTACTCTGTACACGAGAAGAATGCCCCTAGCAGCCGACGTGGACATCCAAGCACTTGCTGCAAGACCTCGACGGTAGACCAAATTTGTACCTGGTAAAATGTTACTCGAGACCAGCTCAACTGACCTTACTCTGCTTGCTAATGATAGGTCTCGCATGTTTACGGGTGCTGATATAGCGGCAATCTGCAAGGAGGCCGCTTTTCGCACTCTTCGCGAAGATATCGAGGCGACGACAGTTGGTTTCCGGCATTTTGAGACCGCATGGGACCAGCGCGCTGAGCAAATCCCGACGTACGCGACCCCAGCTACAGCAAACACAGACTCCTCAAATCTCAACCAGTAATGCGGTTGTGCGTAACCACTCCGTCAATCTAAAAGAAGTTCAGGTGTCAGCGTGGCGAAAGCGGAAAACGGCCCGACATGTCACGCGGTATTATTTTTAGCACTTGACGCAAGTCCTTGGTGCGAGCCGAAGCTGCTCTCTCAGCTGACAGTTTTTTTCGCACTCGGTCGAAACGCTCTTGGGTCGCTTCCCCACGTGGTAAGGATTGCTGCGCCTTACGCTTTCTGGCCGAGGGAACGATGCCAACAGTAATCTCACGCTCTCTATTACGTTGGCAAGCATTCGACTGAGCAAACACAGTTCCAAACGGAAAGAAGGCCTGCAGGAAGGGGTGGAAAAGTGCCCGCTTTGCCGTAATTCTCGTGGCGGGGTTCACATCCAATAGCTTGTAGATAAAATCATGAAATTGGCGATTTCCCGGCGCCGCAGCTTCTAGACGTACCTGTAATGGCGTCAACAGCTCGGGCTCTTTGTGAATGCCAGCACCCTTGCTGTCATCTACAGATCTTTCTTTGTAGCGTGCAGCAGACTGATACGGGGCACACGCTGTATCCAACGATACCCCGTTCATCACCACGCACTCGATCTGCTTCAAGAGATCGTCGTTCTCCAAGTGTATGACATCAGTACGCTCTTGTACTGGGACCTCCAATGGAGGCAGTTTGAATAATGGTCTACCAGACACGCACTCCAGCAGCAGACAGCCCAGCGACCACATATCCATGGCGGAGCACAGCAAAAGACCTGCAGCTACTTCTGGAGCGCGATATGTAACAGTTTGCACGTCATAGCCATCACGCGCGTGCTCGTTAGCATACGCCACTAGCTCACTCGCATCCAAGCAGTTTCCAAAGTCGACTAACTTCACTGGTGAAGAGCATGGCGAAGGAAACGGTGCTGACCCCACTGGGGCTTCTGCACCTGAACGCACGACATTTTCTGGCTTCACATCTGCGTGAATGAGTCCTTGGTCGTGAAGAAAAGCGAGTGCACCACAGAGATGCACTGCCATCTGCCGCACATCAATCAAGGACAGCGGTGGCGTCACCACAGTCAGATCCTTCCCCATAGTGTCTCTCTCTTGGTCCCGCTGTCCATCAAGTGACTCAGTACTTGCATCAGGCACCAAAGAGCGTCTCCGTTTGCGTTTAAAAAGCTGCAGCGTTCGCTTTATAACAAGAGCTTCACCAGGCGGCGCTTGACGCCATGGACCCCATCGTTCAACATCAAGTACAGGAGGTCCTAGTAACTCCAGTACAAGACAAAAGTGACCTTGTTCTTCAAATGTCTCTAGTAGTCGCACCACTGACAGCAGCAACACTTTCAGCAACGAAATATGACTGAACAATAGAGCGTCATTCCTTCCGTCTCGTACCAGCACAAGCTTCGTCCATATCTTGCTCATTAATTTGTCGCAGTGTCGCAGCTTCTCGTTCGCCTAACGCGTTAAGTTCGTGTTGACGAACGCACTTAATGGCGACATGGCGCTGTTGCTGCATGTCCAGAGCTCTATAGAGAAAAATCAGAGTCAACAGAAAGAATGAGGTGATTCAATACAGAAACAAACACATACCGCATGATAACGGCAAAGGTGCCACTGCCAATGCGTCGTAGGAAACGATAGCGACCATTATGGAGCAGTGTCTGACCTTCGACGAGTGTCTGCATTTTTAAATCTAAAATACTAAGAATTAAGGTTAAAAAGTGAGTGATAAGTCGGTTAAATTTGAGGATTTGTCTACTGCCACCACACTAGTTCTAATTCGTCGACACGTTTGTTCGTCCGTTGAGACGTCGTGACGACACTTTTAATGCCCAGACAAAAGTTAAATACTACTTGTTGCTACTTGCTGCTATGTGCACTTCGTAGCTCTGACCGCAACTGCTGAACTTCCTGCTCGAGTCGCAACTTTTCCTGCTCTGATTGGTGCAACATCCATCGAAGTGACTTGACTTCGTGCTCGAGACTTTTAACGTTCTGTTGTTTGCTCAATTGACCAGCTCCTTGGACCAGCAAATGCATGTGGTTCACCTGAGCAGGAGAACACGATCCTTGCTGCTCTTGGGACTGCAACCTTGTGAGGAATGGCTGCTGAGACGCTTGCACAGGAGATAGTCGCGCTGCTGAAGTATATTGGGACTGTCTCATTGCCATCGAACTACTTGTAGCTGTGGTAGTACTCGTCACTCCTCCGGGCATCAGTGAGACTGTTGGCAGTAAGGTTGGTAACGAGTCCACAGCAGGACGCAGTGGTGCCGACGACAGGAGCAACGAGGCGCTTGGACTCGGAGCCAAGCGCGCAACTTCTCCATTCTTCCGCTTCTTGTTGCTGTTACCAACTACCGACTCGAGAGAGCCACGTTTACCGAGATTTGGCTTGCAAGCTTGCTTGACCTTGACCCGGTTGGCTGATTTACTAAGACCACGAAGACGTTGCAGCTGCTGCACCAGAGAGGACCCAAAGCGTGAAATTTTATCACTTTCTACTCCACATACAGCAAGTTCCTGCTCAGTCGACGGCATGTATAGTGCCACCTTGGCAAGAGTCGCATTGGGTAAAATATCCCATGGTGCTACACCGTACATGTTCACCAATTTCTGACGCCATGATTGCAAATGCTGGAATATGATACGAGCCTGCTCCTCTGTCAATAGCTTGGGCGTTAAGACGACTTCGTTTTCGTTACTTTTCTGCTCTGGCATTTGCTGTTGTTGTGCTAGTAGACGCTTGGCGTTGTTCTCCTGGATATGAGCAATACGCTGCCGCAATGTTGTATAATCACAGTACTCGGCTTCATTCGTAGCCATTGTGAACAGCGTCTTCTCCATGTGTTGAGCCAGCCTCGGTAGTGCAGCCAATACTTTCTCAGGTGCATGAGGTTTCATGGCTTGCAACATCTCAACGATCTTACCGACCATTGCACTGCGTATAGCGTTCTTCTCTACCTTCTCCTTCTGCATCTTAATATGAGCTGCTGCTACGTTAGGAATCACTGGTGCTCCTCCACCCACAAAGAACTCCGAGCTGTTGGTTGTCTGGAATTGCAAAGGTAAATGCTCGTCGAAATGTTGTTGTAGTTGCGAATGCTGGACGTCAGTGGGACTACTTGAGCCACTATTGCTACTGGATATCACTCCTTCTTGCTGAGGTTTCGTAGGACTCACCCACTTGTGCTCGTCGCTGTCTCCGCCCGTTGCGGCGCCAATAGCCGCCTCGTCTTCTCCTGGTTTATGGCGCCGGTTCACGTTCAGCTTCTTCACACGCATTCGGTCGTCAACCTATTACCAAATTGCGTATTTGTAGCCACTTGTTATTGCTACTTTATTGCCAGATGGTTTTGGTTGCTAGGCGTGACGATGCCAAAATGGCAATGACGAGCTTACCGTGGCCAGTGCAAGCGAGACGAACCGGAAAAGTGACATGTGCGCGTCATAGTACCACTTCATTTTTACTCTCGTATAAGTATCTTTATACGCAAAAGTAAGCTAGTATGGTGAAACAAAGATACTTAATCGATATAGCACGCAGGACTCGTCGCTGGTACATAAAACTGACATAGGTGCGACGTCACACTTTCGACCAAAATGCTGCGTACATGACAGACACACTCTCTTGCTTACTGCAGCCTTGATGAGTACTTCTGCTTCATATAGATTACATATTTTATAGAGTTGATACACACTATTTTAATTGCATTGCTTTAGACTACGTGTACTGGCCGAGCTTTAGTAGACCGTACCATAGAAATGGACGACGTCATACCTGCCCATCACCAATCGATGACGTCGCCACCACCGGCAAAAATGCGTCAGATATACCAGCCTACACTTTCAAAGTGCCTAAATTTTTTACAAAAAGGGTAAAAAAGAAATAGTGGCTAAACTCCTATTTCGCTTCTTGAGAATATTACATTGTGACGTAAGCACATTATATAAACCAGAAGATAATTGTTAAAATGCTGTAAAATTTATAAGTACGTCACAGTTTCCTCAAATATAAGCTACCAAACTATAACGCCGATGGGTGTCAAGCACAAAATTGGCATCTAACTCATAACTACAACATCCAGTTTCGTGGGATGACATTAACTGTAAGCTATGATACTTCCTGATTTGCGGCTAAGTACGCAGACGAATTACTGGGCACGAGGAAGGGTACCTTTTTTTACCATGAACTCTGACGATGGCGATGTGCCGCTGGGCGATGCTCCTTCACCACTTAAGAGCCAAGGTGCACAAGTGCATTGGAAACAAGTGCCTGGTCCTGGGCCAGCGGCGGCTGGTCGGGTCTCGTTCGCGACTGCGGTCAACGGCCTCGGCAACCGCATCGACCCCGACGAATGTATCGACCCTGGCGTACCTAACGGACCCGGCGGAAAAAACGACCCTGGCGAACCTACCAGCCTTGGCAACAGAAAAGGCCCCGTCGACCACAGCGCCTCGACTCCGGCGGAGGTCGGTGGGCCGCAAGACCAACGTGCTTTACTGGTGCGCACAGCTTCGAGACCTTGGATTGATAAGGTGGATGATGATCTGCGTCCAATGATTCCACTTGAGGAGGAGGCGCTCGCAGCTTGGTTGATGGGAGGCATTGTACTTCCGTCACCGCCCGGTTTTTTGGTATGCACGCACCCAAGAGCCACGCGGGTTGCGATGCTTGATTTTTTTGAGGAATACCTTGAAGGCAAGGTCATCGCGCTTGTGCCTCCTTCCGTCCGTATGCCTCAGCATATTGCTGAGAAAACGTTGCTTTTACAACTGCTGGAACGCCGCGAAGGGGAGACGACTTCCGATCCACTTAGTCGGGAGCTAGTCAAGGGGGCAAAGCGCGCGTGTTACAATTCGGACACTCGACGCCTCACCTTTATTCTGCCTGACCAGGCGGCTGCGGCGAGCTGGCATACAAAATTCATTTCATTTCGTGGTACTCGCCTTCAACTATTGTGTCCAGCAACCATGGAGAGGGATGACATCACTACTTCATTGACGTCCAGTACTACTTCAAGTCGCAACATTCTGCAGTATCAAGTGAGAATTTTGGTTCATGGCGTGGCCGCGAGCACTGTCCAAGCTATCCTCTCGTCGAGTGTGTCATGCTCGGTGACGTCGGTGGTTCGGGGGTTTCTGAATGGGACAGAGGCGTACGATTCCAACTTCTTTGTCGCTACCTTTAATACCGTTTCATGTCCCGAAGAGATCAAGTTGGTGACACACATCAAGACTCCCAACACGACACTTTTTATTCATCATCATCGTCATTTCCAACGGGTCCCCTGTTTTTCTTGTTATTCGCCGTATCATTCAAGTGCAAAATGCGCCGCCAGCAGGGGCGGTTTCTTATTTGAGCATCACCGCGAATTCATCGGTACTCACCATGTTGCCAAAACAGTCAGCGTCTTGACTTTTCAGCACCTCGATGTGAACGAGCGCCTGCAGCATGTCGCCGGCCTGGCAGAGACATTACAGGCAACTACGGCCAAGCTGAAGGATGAAGCTTGCAAGGCACCACTGTTAACCAAGATCTCACAGAATTTTTAGAGAGACTGTCCAAGGGAGGATACACCCCCCTCTTCTCCCCGTGGACAGCCAGAGGCGAGTGGCGATGCCCCACGTGCCGCTGGTCCTACTACTGACGGGTGGTTTGACCCAGGTGCGAACAAGAAAAAGCGGGACTCGCGTCCCAACGCGGCTTCAACTACTCAAGCGGCGACTTCTAATGCTACACCGCTACGACGTCCGACGTCAAAAGCAGCTGAGGGGACCAGCAAGTCGTCGACCCAAGGGTCGGCATCTTCCGCCAAGCAGAGCGCGACGAACTCGGTTAAAGTGGCTACGAAACCTTCCTCACCTACTAAGCCAGCAGTTTCTACGAAAGGAAGAGCACCCGCGGCCACTTATTCCGTGACATCAGCCGCCACTACCAAGGCTACTAAGCAGCGTGCGCAGGCGGTAGCTGAACTGGACCACCTGATCGGAGGTGATCGTACGGCTTCCACGGCAAATCAGGCAACGGACACTGTTGCAGTTCTTTCTACGTCTGAGAAGTCATCCAAGGTTACGGCTTTAGCGGTGGCTCAATCTCAAGTTGCGGACGCACAACGCACAGTCGAACTACTGACTTCAACCGCTGCAAAAAAGAAGTTCAATGCCGAAAATAAGAAAGCTTGCTACTTCGAGGCTCACGCTCATGCGTTGGAATTAGCTATTGATCGCGAAGCTACAGGTCTCGACCTTAATACAACTCTCGACGATGTGAATGGTGACTTGCCTACATTGGAGTACAAATATCGCACCGCTGGTGCAGAGGCGAACAGAGCGGAGACAGCAGCAGCAACGGCCACGAACAAACTACTAAAATTGACACGCCGCTTGACAAAAATTACACCGAAAGAGACGCCCGAGATCGAGCATGCGGTTAAGGGGGGTTGTCCCACCGCCGAGCGAGATGCCAGCTGCGACGGCAGAGAAAATTAGGGAAAGAGGTCGCGCGACGATACAGCGAATGTTGTCGTCTTATGTTCGCCGCAAACGGAGCATGCCAAGTGTGACGACCAAGGCAGTACCGGGTGCGGTCCCACCTGGGGTTGCATCACCTGATTCGGCTCCATTGGAAATTTCTCCGACATGCCCCCAGGACCCGGACTACTTGGAACACCATGATCTCGATGTAAGTATGGCGGTAAGCAAATCTACGTTTGGAAATACCATGCGCATGGATGATATTGATGGAGGGGCCGTAACGCCTCCCCCATGCGCCGCCAGTGTCCCTATACCAGCGGAGCTAGCTAAAGCTATTGAAGACGAGCTCAAGGCCTACTCAGGAAATATAGCTGACCCAGCCATGGGCACTTACGGTCTGCTGACACGACCCATTGGCTCTAATGAGGTATCGAGTACACAGGTGGCACTTAGATCCCCGATGGATTTCATCCGCACTCAAGATACTCACGATCAGACGTTACGTGCAACTAGAGTGCGCAAGGTGCCTGACACTGCATCGACTGCAGTAGCGGCCGCCGCTGTGCCGGAGGGCACGAAACACATTTCGGCGAACACTGCTGCGATTCGTAGATGGGTTTCTCAGCGCAAAGTGGTTTCTGCGGTACCCACTACACTGCCAGTTGGTCCAAAGGGTTAATCCGCATGGATTAAAGCGTGTGCATTGGAATTGGCGGCACTTGTCAGTGACCTGCCGCACCCAATTGCTTACCTCGCCTCGATGTCGAGGGAATCCCTCCAAACCTTTGGACATTCTATCAACAGCGAGTCTCAATTGTCTGTGATACGCCAACATACCACACACGCTGATGAAAAGCTTCGAGAGCTGTGTACGGGTTGGGCTGCAACGGCAGAAGGTCAGTCTGGGCAAATTCGATGGAAGACGACGGACAACATAACGCGCTGGAGAAAATTCCACAAATTACAGCCGGAGTTGCTGTGCGCGACTGTCGTGGAACCGCTTCCGGACTTGGATCAATGGGGCGTCCTCAATGTCCTGTGTGTATTGCTATCTCATCTTGCACCTGTCGAGGATGAGACAAAGGTGGTGATGCCACAGTCCAAAGCGGCATTATACCACCTCTCTAAAGAGGTGCGCGCGGCTGTATCCAGAATTTTATGCAAACCTGCCAACTGGCAGCCGGCGATTGACCTTATTGCCCGCGATGGTCAGCTGCTGGGCCTTCAGTACTGAGGGCACCTCGGCTGCGCAAGGGGCTGATTCGGTAGGGGGGGCGGATCCCAGTCCCTCTTTTCCATATTCTGTAGGGGGACTTAGATCGCTAGACAGGGTTGAGTCTTCTTCCTTTCACCTTCCAAGGGCAGATACACTTCGACGTCGTCATCGGGGCATGTTGAAGACTTCTCAAAAGCCACGCGAAAACAGCATCGGTCTGCATTCACAAAATGTCGCGGGATTCCCCAAGCATCCGGAACGCTGTGCAGAATGGTTTGGCCATTTTAGGCAGCGCGAATCACGGGGTGCTATCGACTTGGTCCTATTACAAGAAACGCGGGTCTCTGTTGGTGAAGCAGCAAGTCTGAACAAGTTTTACAACACCACATGGGGCTTCGTGGACAAGCCCGGACGCACTCGATGGACCGAGTCCGAAGCAGCGCGTGGAGGGGTTGCGATTTTACTGAATCCGTACTCGTCGATTACTGAGATGGAACCGTGGCATGAGATACATTGGACACCGCACTGGATGTCTGTTCAAATTAATATTCGAAGCGAGACCGTTCTTGTTGTCAACGTATATGCCCCGAGTGGTAAGCCTGAACGGGAGGCGTTTTTCGAGATGCTTCGCCATCACCTGCTGGATCACGACGGACCCTTGTTCGTGGGCGGGGATTTTAACTGCACATTGGTGCCTCGACTTGACCGATCTTTTGTCTCGCCGCCCGGCAGACATGATTCGCAGGCGCTGAGACGGCTTCTAGGTCGCGCACAACTTTGCGATGTACTCGAAGATGACATGGAGCGAGCGGAAGAAGAGAGGGCCGTAGCAGCTTTTCATGCGGCGGCACACACCTATTTCTACACTTTTCCTGGAGGTGGATCAGCCAGTTCTCGACTTGATCGGTGGTACGTGAGTGCTCTTCATGCTGATTGGGTTTGAGACGTCGATCTGTCTGTACCTGGCCCAGCCGCTGACCACAATGGAATCAGTATACGGATTGGGGCACCAAGTCATGTTGTGCGCGTACGTAAGCCACGGAGCGTATATCCAGTGCCGGGCTGTGCACAAGCGGCCGCGACCAGCGCCATTATTTCGGCCATTGAGCTGGCACAGATTGAAGTTGATGAATCCAGCTCAGTTCCGACGTCGGACTATCGAACGGCTAGACGATTGGCCGACTGGTGGGATGGATGGAAGATCAAGTTACGCAAAGTTCTTGTGGCGACTACAAAGACAGCCCGCCAAGGTCTGACGCGCAGCTACAGACAGTGGCTGAAGCGCCTCTATGTCCGTCTGGATGCGGCGCTATTGGAGGCGCGCTCGTCAGCTACCTCAATAGCGTGTGCTCAAACGATATGCGACCAACCCAGCCCCGTTGATAATCCTGCGGAACTTCGTCGAAACGTTGCGGAGTGTCGACGATTATGGCAGAGAACCAAGAAAGAGCGACTTCTTGTCCAGCACACATACTCTCCAGGCGAGACTTCTCGTCGTTTCTTCGCGCGGGTGTCGACAAAATTTCAGAACAACACTATCGTTTCTTTGGGTGGACAAGCTACATACGGGTCGAATCGGTCGCAGGAATTGGCAAATGAAATGGCAGACGGCTGGGAGCATCTTATGACTCAATTTTTTGATTGTCCAGATGCTACCGCTGCATTTCTGGAACGAGCCTCCACACCGGTCCGGGTTGATGACTCTATAGTGACGTCAGCTATATCTCCTGAAGATGTGTGTGCGGCTTTGAAGAGACTTCAACGTGGGAAAGCCGCAGGACCAGATGAAATCAACAACACCTTTTACCGTGATTATGCTGACGCGCTCGCGCCAATTCTCGCAGCACTGTACACTAGATGGATGGAGTGCAGCGTGTTTCCGACGTCTTTTGGTGAAGCGAACATTCAGTGTCTGAAGAAAACCGCGGCTTCCGCCTTGCCTCTTGATCATCGGCCGATCGCGCTTCTCAACAGTGACTACAAGTTATTTACAAAGATCCTTTCGTTTCGAGTTCGGCCGATGCTGTCGCATATTGTTCTGCCAGCTCAAGTTGGTTTTGTCCCGAAGCGGTCGATCCATACAGCTCTTGACATTTTTTCGGCGGTTCGCAAAGCGGCGAGTGCTGACAGCGATCTACACGGATCCATTATTCTTCTTCTCGATTTCGCCAAGGCATACGACACGTTGCAACGTCCGTTTCTACTTTCGGCGTTGACTTGGCATGGCTTCTCGCCAAAATTCGTAGCAGTCGTGGCGGCATTACACCGAAACACGACATGTCGATTTATTGTGAATGGGTACCGTTCAAGCAGACGTGACGTTCACTGCGGCATACGGCAAGGGTGCCCTCTTTCTCCTCTTCTGTTTATACTCGCCTTGGATAGTGTCTATCGAGTGATTCAAGAGAGGGATGAAATCCGCGGGATACCTCTTACTTCTGGGGGGGAAACCACTGACATTAAAATTTCGGGATACGCTGACGACACGGCGGTTTATCTTCGCGATCGGTCTGCGGTTTTGCCTGTTATTACGATCCTCGAAGACTTTGCAGCTGTTTCCGGTCTGCTGACGAATCGAGCGAAGTCTATTATCATTGAGCTTGACCCTCGCGGATCATCTTTGCCCTTGGACGCGTGTGGCCTCAATGTACAGTCTTCAAGCGGATCATGCAGGTATCTTGGTGTACTTGTTGGCCAACAGGATGCGGTAGCTGACAACTGGTGTAAATGCATACGATCTCTATGGTGTCGACTTGCACTAGCACGAGAGAAGACTCATACGGTGGAACAACGAGCTCGCATCGCCAGCGCCATCGCGGTGCCCAAAATTACCTACTTAGCACGGCACCGCTGGCCACCTCCCGCCATGATTAATAGATTGGAGGGCTTAATTATGGACTTTGTATGGGGCATCCATGATGGCAAGAGGTCCCGACCGTGGGTCCCTTCAGAGATGGCTTCACTACCGATACAGCAAGGTGGGCTATCGGTGCCGTGTATTCGTACGGAATTAATGACTATGGCGGCAACCGCTGTTGGACAGTGGGCAGCTACAGCTTCTTCGAGAGATTTACTGATCGGAGACTTTCTATGGGGCTCTACTGATTCGGGTCCGGCTTACATCACGCCATGTTGGACCCAAGACCAGGAGCCTCGACTCCAAGTGACGCTATGGTTAACCGGTTCTAAAATTGTTGGGCTTTCAGCTGCTCGACATGCCCGCCAAGGAGAGGTCCAGGAGGTCTGCCGAAGGGCCGCCTCTTTTACATCAAGAGCCTTAATCGACTATAATGGAGACGGTAGTGTCACAATTGATGTCCGCCGTATACTTGATGACAAGTTGCGGGCCGGGATGAGAGCTGAAGTAGCGACATCAGGTCGTTTTGAACCCAGATGGATCGTACACGCAACGCTGACGGACATGTCGTGGCTGAGGGATCGCAGAGGCAAGGCTTATACTTTGAATGGAGCGGATTTTGCGAGGGGGCACAAGTACCTTGGCGACATATTCACCTGGAAGACGACTCCGAGTGGTATCGTCCAATTTTCGCCCAAGCGTGACATGGCTACCCACTCTATGGCGAAGCGTCGGCATTTTGGGAACTTCTGCCTTGCCCTTCTATACAATTTTCCAGCACTCGTATACAGGTCGTTTGAATCGGGGGCATTGTTGGCGTACTCGACAAAGGTCCACCAATATCATACTTGTCTCCTCGACCGAGACGGTACATCGGTATCGCACTTCGACACGGGTATAGCGGGTGGGGTGGCTACAGTCTCATCTATAACTGCTTGCGATACCGCAGCGTGTCTGGACAGTGGAATTACTGTCCACTTTGGTGCGCATCCAACGCTTACGCGTGTTGTACACCTATGGGCTGGCCGTCGAAGATGGAGGCCGCAACGACGAAAATTCAAAAAGATCATTTCCCGCAGGCGAAGTGATGAGGGCAAACGCATTTGCGACGAACGCGTGAAGAAGCCGGACTTCCAAGTGATTGCAGCAGGTACATCTCTGATCGAGTGGAGAGACATCCGTAAAATACGGGCTTCTTTCCCGACCAACGCGCAGACGCTTTATCGTCTGAAGAGTAACAGCTTCCCGCTATGGAATTGGGCTAACCAAGATCTATCTTGCCCCGACCCAGCGTGTCCGACATCCTTACTGGCCATGGCTAGTCATGTATTCTGGAATTGCCCTAGCGCTCGGCGTCATTGGGGTTATCTACTTGAACGGTGGCGAAAGCTAGGCGATTTGGAGGAGGCGGACCTTCACGTCTGGGTGTTTGGCATGGACCTTCCGAGTATTCCGAGTTCTGCATGGAATGCCATTAAAAACGCTATCGAACCCAGTGTAGATTTGTCTCGAGCGAAGGACGCCGTTTTTCCAGCAACGCGTGAGCTCTGGCGTTTTCTCGTTTCTACGACACTACATTCCATCTGGGCTGAGCGTCTCCGCCGCTTGGAAGACTCACTTTTGCCACAGGAAGTACACGACGCAAGAGCAAGGACACAATTTCGACGAGCGGTTACACGGTTTCGAAGTTCAACATATCAGTCGGACATGGGGGTAGACGGATACCTATTCGCACGAGTACGGTCGGCGCTTGCTGATATCCTCATCGGCTTTGACAATCCTCCACCCTTGCGAGCGCTGCCGCTTGACACTCTATCTGGGGTTTTCTACCTGCTCTTCTTCGACGGGGGGTCAAGAGGAAATCCTGGACCGGGCGGAGCAGGTTCCGTCATTGTCCAACTTCACATTCAGACGCACGCATCATGCGTCGTGTGGGTATCGAGCATGGATTACGGTTCTGCAAATGCCACGAACAATGTCGCTGAATACTGGGGGCTCGTGCACGGGCTTCGACAAGCGAAGGTTAGCGGCTACTCACCTCTCCATGTCGTGGGGGACAGTGCGCTCGTGCTTTCGCAGCTTCGGACGCACCATCCTCCACGCAAGCCACACCTGGCCCTTCTTTTCCGAGAGGCAAGAGCACTTGCTGACGATATCGATGTCTCCAGCTGGGGACATCACTATCGCTCATACAACAAAATGGCGGATCGACTGGCGAATATCGCTATGGACACTGGAGCCTCAATTCAAGTGCACGCTTCCGCTGAGGAAGGTGTTGTCAAGGAGGCTTCGGCATTCCTTGACCATGATGTCAACCACTGGCTGGAGGCCTCTCAAGCCGACAACTACGAACCTCAGGGACCCGCTATGACGCCACGGAACCTGATCATCTCGAGACAAAACTCTGCGCGACGACGCTCGGCTGTCCGAGGACTAGTTATACCTAGTATTTAAAGTAGAAGTCGCCACGGTAACTCTGTTACCTGTCGACAGGATATAATGGGTCGTACGCGTACTTAAATATACCTCACCTTCTCACACTCACACACTGTAAGCTATGATTCCACCACCGCTGCTACGTAAGCAACTCTTTCGTATTTATCTTTCCAACATTTTTATCTTCATCGGGAATCTCAACACGCAGTAATTCCTCTGTGCGACGTCCAGCGTGTGCAATCACAGCGGGTTCTTTGAGGGAAGCAACACAGCTTGCTCCAACGAAAAATGTTCCATTTTCAGTACCAATTCGATTCGCGCACAGAAAATGACAGTTCCGTTTGCTGTATTCGGCTTTTGCTAGTGCATCAATGACCGGGGATAGCCGTTGCACCCAGTAAGACAGTGTCGAGTACGGCTCAAAGTCATGAGCTTCCAAGTCATTCCAGGCACAAGCGAATAGCACCAAGTCACTTTGTTTTTCAGCCACGTGTGAGCCAAACTCGTAGGCTAAGAACGGAGCTTTGAAGTCGTCTGGATTGATGTCCATGCAGATCCCAAATGATATCGTCTTGTCAAGCCATGGGCAGTGCCACGTGCAAAACCCTTTCCCCGGTGTAGCCCACAACTTATCGGTCTCATACAAGAACGTCTTTCGCGGATTGCATGCGAGTTCGCCGTCAGGACTAACAACCAGCATCGAGTTGTACAGCAGATCGCCTTCTTTCTCAACGTATCCACATGTTACCATGCAGTGCAACCGACGTGCATGGCGCTGGCACCAGTGAAAAGTCTGTCCTTCACCCGCAATCTCTGCCACTTGAGCCACTCGAGCTTTGGAGGTAAACACGTAACCCGTGAACGCCATCTTCACCACCGATGACAATAAAAGTCCACCCACTTGCCTGTGAGCCACATAGATATTCACATCCCAAAATTCAATTAACACTCACCTCCGACAGCATCAACACATCAATTTGATCGTTGGCTGAAAGCGATGCAACCATTTCATCCACATGCTACAGTCACACACAAAAAACAAAAACTCATTACAAAGTTCTTATTCAAGCAAGACGTCATTTAACCGACCTTCATATTCCGCTCCATTAATCCAAATTGTGGATCTGCAAGACCAAAAATACACAGTCTCTTTATATAACACCAAGCACACTATAATACAATCTAATAAAACCCATTACCCACCATACTGTACGATAACGATCTGCATAATTTATGACGCTGGTAAAAAAGAATTTATTGTACCAAATTGTTTTTTTTCTTTTTTCGAGTTATCCAATCAGAAGCTCTACTATAGCAGAGTCCCTTAGCTTAGATACTCTCCATATGTTTAAGCTTCTCAATAAGTCGAGGCATCTCTAAACGAAGTTTCGTCGCACGTTCTGGCGTTACATAAACGTCCATCGTCATCGTCGTCGTCTCTTCGTCTTGAGTACAGAAATATTCGGCTAGCAATAGGACATAAATACCACAATCGTAGCCATTCTGTTGCTGTGGAGTATCTACTACTTCCTCCACTTGTTCAGAGACTCTTCCATCTCCATGATGTTTTCCAATTGCTTTAAGTAAAAGCACAAATGAATTGGCCACTTGTTGTGCTGCGTATTTATTATGACCAGCACTTGAATCCAAATGACGAAAACTACCATCGCAATAAAGCAGCAATGACCAATGGCTACTGACTCCGTCTAGTTTATCATTATCAGATACAGGAATGATACAGACTCGACGTGTAGTAAGATCTAAACCCTTGGCTAAATCCACGTACTCCTCCTCGTCTTCGCACTGATGTAATAAACACGAGACCACCGCCGGATCCATAAGCAGCACGTCACTTGAAGCACGTGTCTGCGTTAGATATTGCAGATAAAAATTAATGATATTATCATTAAGCCACTGGCCTGGACTCGTTACTAACGCCACATCCGATTCGTACAGCTGCACGTCGTGATAATGAAGCACTTGCTTCGTCATGCTCCTACACTGGACACTATCACACAATCAAACGTTTGAAACAACTGATCTCTTTTTTTCACCAATAGGACGTTCTTTACCTACCGTCAATACTGTACAGTAATCCGACAAACTGTAGATACATATAAATTACAAATATATTACCACTTTTTCTTCTCTCTTGTTTATTTTCCCAAAAGTCTCTCAGTAGAAAATTCAATGGCTTCATCCTCGCTCTTCCCGCAATTTGGTAACGTCTTTGGTGCCCCAAGTTCAGCTGGTCGTGTACGTTAAACCCCTCTATCTATTAGATCTTCATCTTTCTTTCGATCGATCTATCTCTCACTCTCTCTTATGATTTTTTATCCATAGAATGAACTCGTATCTTTTAATGCTGGTAAAATGACTGTAAAACCAACAACAAATGGGAAATTTCTCGTGATTCCACAATTGGAAAAGGGAAAAATCTGTCTATTACGTGGAGATGATCAATTACTTCATTTTCAATGGATGGATCGTCAAACTGGAGCGAGTCCTGAGGACTTTATCATTTTCCCAGATGATGCTCACTTTGCCAAGGTCGACACTGGTCGTCCGAAGGATCGTGTATACATTCTTCAGTATAAAAACTCATCGCGTCGCTTTTTCTTTTGGATGCAGGTACAGTCGATCATTTTGAGTCCATTGAATGGGTCTTTTATCTTCAGGAGGTTTACTACGTGCCTGTATTCTTTTATATTTGTAATAGAACAAGGACGCGTCACGTGATGAAGAGCTGGTGAAGAAAGTAAATGACGCGATGAATAACGCACAGGCAGCCTCCAGTAGTGATGGCGGTCGTAACTCTGGTAACAACGTACAGTTGGATCACAATGCCATTATGCAGATGCTGGGCGCCATGGGAGCCGGAGATCAGGGTCGTGGAGGTGCCGGTGGTACTGGTCAAGCTGTCCAGATGTCAGAGTTGCAGAATATCCTGCAGAACATGGGATTGCCTGCAGGTACCCAGTCGGTGGCCTCGTCGCCAGCGACGTCGGCTGTGTCGTCATCTCAGGCGTCACAGAATGGCGGTGGCAGCTCGGCGGCTGCTACCACGGCGTCGACTCAGCACGAACATGATGTGAGTGGTATGGAAGTGGACGAAATGGATGAAGATGAGCTCCTGCGACTAGCTATTGAGGAGAGCATGCGCGACGGAGGCAGCACTAATCCAAGTGCACCCGGAGGCGGCGCTACCGAAGGTAATAGCGACTTGGATAGCAGCAACAGACCTGCAGGCCGCGGTGGACGCAATGGCAGTGGTACCGGTGGAAGCAATATGGACACGTCGTCCTAAGCTGTCGGAGACGCAGTGAGCGAATGGAAGGCTTGTACCCGAGTGGGTAGGTAGCATATAATTTCCAACAAAAGTACTCCATTTGCTCGGTCTCTCCCTTGCTTACACATTCCACCAGTGTGAGTTAAATATCAATGCTGCACCAACAGTCAACTTTTGCAAGTTCTCACGCGTCTTTGTCGTGCTGCTATGAATTTGTAGGCATGCTGGCCATTGTCGGCTGCAAGCCTCGCTGTAGCACTTTTTCAATTGACAAGCTGAGCCGCTGTTTTCTTTGTTGTCATTCCTGTAGATGCTGTAGCTTCATCCGCCATCCCCGCCGCAACGGCAACAGCTCCAGTTCCGCTAACGACCTCAACAGCATCTGTAGCTGCAACTAGTGCGAGTAGTAGTGCTCCTGCTGCTGGTGGAAGTCTTACAACGGCAGATCTTCAACGCGCAATGGCTTCTTTCCAACAACTTGCGGTAGATCCTCGTCATCTTCATTTATCTTTGTTGATATCGATCTCTAAATAATTTTTTCGGTACCAATGTGCATAGCAACCGAAGCCCGTCTCCTTGATCAAGCTTCTCACTGCTGACAACGTAGGAAGTATTCTTGATGATCCAGCATGTGTCGAAGCCCTGCTTCCGCACTTGCCGGAAGGCTCTCAAACTCTTGCGGAACTTCGTGCAACGGTGCGTATAGAATTTGTCATCTCGGAACTGGTTGGTGTCATTGCCTTCCGTGCGATCAGCTCATATAATTTCTCCTTGTTAGATGCATTCTCCTCAATTGCGTCAGAGCATTGGCTCGCTTGAGAAAGCTCTGCAGACCGGAAACTCGAATGCGGTTATGGCCAGTTTCGGTCTGGATCCTGCTGCAGGTGCTGCAAAGCTCGCATTTGGCGACGGTACGTAGACATCTCCATGTCGAGATAATTCGTAATGTCTTTTAACAAGAAATACTTCTTTCACTGCTACGTGTGACTAGGTGTGGGTGCTCTACTTGCCGCGATCCAGGCATGGGCAGACCAACAAGACACGACAATGTCTATTCCGAATGATCAGAGCAAGTCGAACTAAGAAGCGCCAACGTTGCCACCTTTTGAAAATGTCTTCCAGCAATGTCACAAGACATACGTTAGGTATGTTCCAAAAAGAGAAATGGACATCGTAGCCACAGCCTTGATCGCAGTCCGATTGAAGCTTTCAATTTGCTTGCCAGTTTCTGTGCCTGCAGCATCACCATAATGCTCTTGAGCTGACATCCATGCATTGTACATCTTTAAAATCATCGTACATCGGTAGTTTTGAGGACAGGAATTGTAGTACCATGTCAGATGTCACCCAAAGCTGCTGCTATTGAGTGACGCACCAACTACAAGTTACGCTGTTGTCAAATGTAGTGTCTGACGACACTCCGCCGGTACAGCCAAAATCCATCCCTTTATAATCTTTACATAACAGAATTAATCTATAACTCAAGTCAAGCGTCAGCACAACAACATTTCCAGGTACTGCTGATTGGTACGCTACCAACGCTGCGCTCCTGAAAAGGTTGCGGTACTGCGCTGTTGTAGTCGCTGACATTGCTGATGATCAACAGAGAACGGAGCTGTCGGCTGGAGTTTTGCAGAGGCTGTATGGTTATGAAGCCCCTGGTTATGGTTGTGAATATCCAGCGGAAGTACTCTCGTCGTAGTGGCCACGGGTCGCGCATGCTGGTGGTGTAGTGGGAATGCTGAATGGTCACGGCTGTTGCTGTGTATACCAAAGGTTTTTGGCGGAAGTTCTGGCGAGAAGATGTAGCAAGAGTCATCGCTAGCTGGATTCTCGTAAGTGCCCATCGTTGTAGCCACAGGATGCGAGTGCTGATGGTGCAGTGGGAATGCAGAGGTAGCCATCAAAGGCTCAGTGGCCCCATGGCTATGACCGTTACCATAGCTGTGACCATGGCCAGCACTGCAACCATTCATAACAGCTGGCCGCTCGGCTCCAACACCTTGTAGACCAAAGGTCTCGAGCACCTGAGGCTTTGAGATCTGCACTGACAGGAACTTGTCGAGTCGTGCATGATGCCAAAAGATATCCCTCGTATGCTGAAGCACATGCTGCTCGTCAGCAGAAGATGCAACCTCGAGATGTAACGTGGCCACGCTTATGTCGCCCGCATGATGCCAAATATTCCACTGAGCTATACGTTCCACGCCTGATACAATTGTTTGCACATCATGCAAAGCCGCATTAACATTTCCTTCCAGCTCCTGGGGTGCACCTTGCAGTAGTTGGCGAGCTGTGTCCCTCAATAAAGGCAGCGTACTACCCAAAATCAGCAAAGAAATCAGTGCTGAGGACGCAGAGTCAGCCACATGCCACTCGTACAATTGAATCAACACTGATGAAATGATCACGCCTACACTACCCAGCGTATCGGCCAACACGTGGAGATAGACGCCGTACATATTGCTGTTCCCACCAAGGTGGCCACCTTCAGAAGCAGCTTCGCCATGAGACTGGTGGAGACTGTTGCCGTGACTGTGCCCATGGCCACCACCGCATCCTCCTGAATCTCCTCCATGGCTGTGGCTATGACCGTGAACGTGATCGTGGAAAAAGAATAGACCGACTAGGTTTACAATAAGTCCAACCGTTGATGTGAGTAGCAAATGGTCTGTTGTAACCTTGGGTGGATCCATGAAGCGTGATGCCGCTTCAGTTAGCAGGTGAAATGACACAACAAGCAGCAACAGTGAGTTTAAGAAGCCCGAGAGGACCTCTACACGACCATAGCCGTACGTGAACTTTGCGTTAGGCGGAAGCTGAGCGATATACGAGGCCACGAGGCCAATCATGAGCGCGCCATTGTCAAATAGCATGTGTCCAGCGTCACCCATGAGACCAAGCGAGTTTGTGTAAAGACCGACGCCAAGTTCCACGAACATGAAGGCAACATTAATCGATAGGAAAATTAGCATTTGGCGCGAGGCACGTCGTGACCACAGTACACCAAAAATAAAGCTCAACCCAGACAGCGTGCTATTCTTTGAATCCGATCCAGAGCTTGACCCATACCTGTCTAGATACACTTTATCGTTGACACCATCTTCAAATGATGCATCAATACGCCACCAACGACTCACATGCACGTAGAGGATCAGAGTGCACGCTGCCATACTCAGAGCAGCACGTAACCATTGCCGCTCCCACATTGCAACAACAATAGCCAATACCATCCCCGTCAATGAGCCCACAAGTCGAGCCTTTACTTGATTCACTAAAGACAGCCATCTCTTCTTTTTCTCAAAATAAACAGTAACAAATTGACTTCCAGCAGCAGCCAAGAGATAAAATGTCCATGTGATCGAGCTCATAACACCTCCATCAGCACTAACTCGATCATTGGCAATCTGTTGAGCATGAACAACACTCTCAGGTGTCAACAACCCTAAAGTTGCAGCAAAAAGCATCGCTATTGTCATCGACAGCAGCGTCTGAGGTGACGTATGATCATCTGCAGTATCATCTACAGTCACTTGTAGTCCCAGAGCTGCTCCCAATAGTGCTAGAGTATACAATAAAGCCCCGTATTCATCCGTATTGATGCCTGCAACCAGCAAAAACCCCAACACCATCAACAAGACGCCATTCTTGTCACTGTGCCATCGCTTAAGTTGCAGCAGCAGTAGGTCCACATATTCCAAGAGCAAGGCAAAAAGTAACCCCAAATGTCGCAGTGCTTGAGTTGCAATATAAAGTCTTGCAAGTTGTCGAGTCGCTTCTAAAGTTGCTCGATGGGGTTCAAATCGGACGCGTCGTCTTGAGTTGCGGAAAGAAAAGATCTGACACAAGACTTGAAGGAAGAGACACTGAGCTATGATCGAAAAATCACGTGTTCCATGACGTAAAAGAGATTGAAATAGTAAAAGCGACACGAAGGAGGAGACACTGACGAGAAGAAGACGCGTACGAGAGCCACAAGAGGAGTCGCTCTCTATCAAGTTCATCACTCGAACAAAAAGGACTTTTTGAGGCGCACAAAATAATAAATGCTGTAATTATAGGTATCAAATATGGGTACGATCGATGTATATTACAATCGAGAGGGAGGGGGTACAACTTCTTGGGGGATCACTTAACGGAGGGGAGACCTCGAATTTCGAAAGTGCACAAAAAACGGTCTATTATTGTACGAGGAAAGTCTCACTATGTCGCGTCTGATCGACCCACATGTTGAAGCTGTCATTGTGTCTTTTTTTCTTCTTCAAGTAAACGATCTATTTTCTCGCCTTTCCTCGATCGTTGAAACGGATTCGTAGCTGAGATAGAAACTCCTCCTTGTGACTGGAAAGTCTCCTTTCTAGCTACCAGTCTTTAAGCTGAGATGTAAGACATTTTTCCTTTTGCAACAAAGAACCTCTTTCTCCTCTTTCTCCTCCTCCTTTGCCTTTTTAAAACGATCCGACAATGCTTTCAGTCAAGTATCTAGTCGTGTTTCTCGCTCTTTGCGTCACACACACGTGCGTCGTGAGTGGTGAAGGCTACAATTTTCAGAAATATATGGGCTCGAATCAAAATCAGACGCAGGGCGACTTGGTACTCACTCCCACCTTGTCTGAGACGCTGCATCCTGAGATATCTTCTTCAGTAGAAACGATCGAAGTATATATGCCGATTCCAATCAAGACGCCGCGTCCCGAAATTCTTGCAGTCGAAGATACCGAAGTGTATGTGCCTACTCTGACCGAGAAACCGTGTCCTCCCTTACCGACTCCCACTTTTGAGACGGAGTCTGACACTGAGGCTCTCATAAAGGAGACTGCATTGTACGACGGAGTAAACGATCCCGAGTTCCCAAGCCCAGTCGTTTCGTTAACGATGGAGACGCATTCCCCATTCGAGACTGCTCCATACACGCCAACTCCAGCGCGAACGGAACCATGCCCGGAGCTTGCGTTGGCCTCCGAACCGACCGAGACGGCCTCAGCATCTGAACTGACAGCCCCATGCCCGACACTCGTGATGGCCTCCGAAACAGAGGCTCCTCAAACCGAGAAACCAACCGAGACATACTCAACGCCGACGATTCCGTGCCCAACATTCACATTGATGCCCGAACCAGCGACAAACTAAGTCACTCTGAGATCGAAGCAATCTAGTCTGAGTGTGTTTTGCTTTTCTCAAAAGGTGGAGGCCACCGTCTAGTTTTGCATCGTAGCAATGTAACAAGTATATATGATAGAACTAGTAGACAATTACTATAAGTATCCAAAGATTCTCAGACAGCAATTGGCATCGTTGGTGTCACTCATCTATATCATTCAACGAGGGGTTAACATCAGAAAGTGTTTGAGAAAGAGGACATCTAGTGGTGCAGGGCAGCAAAATCGTCATTTATGTGACAAAGCTACACACGGCCACCGATCGCTTTAGTCGAAGAGCGACTTCAATAGACTTTCTTCGATCAATATCATTGTGTCTTCCAGCACGATTGCCATCATAGATACTGATCACATCGCAGAGTTTAAAGCGCATTCATTTTGCTGTAGTTGCTACATGTTTCTTTATTATTGTAGTATTGAGTATGCAATTGCCGATCGCCTTTACATACAAAGCAACAAGTTGATTTTAATTCGGTAGATATTCCGACGGTGTAGCATGAAAAAACTCTGCCACGCGACCAGTGTTCATCATAGCAATTTCTTGTCGCAATGCACAATGGTGGTATACGATGTGTCATAATGAGACCAGTTTGCTCCACGAACGTATACAAGTTAATCGTATTAAAAAGTTCAAGAGTCATGGGACATTTGAATAGGACAGAGTGAATCGGCAATCTGATTATAATGTGCACTTTCCCTCAATTTGGTCCAAATTGTCGACACGGAATATCCGAGTTTTGAGCTGTTGAGCTCATTATCTTTTATCTAATACTATTTAAAAAAGGACAAAAAATATGAACCTGCTGCAGGGCAAGAGCAATCAATATCTGCGCGAGGCCATCCTTGAGGGCAGCATGGACAAGGCACGACGTTATCTGACGCTCAAGATTGGTAAAGCAGATGTGGCTGCGCTTACTGAGAGTGGCGGTTTCTCCATGTTGCACTGTGCCTGTCTCGTGGGAAATACGCAGATCGCTATGATGTTACTACAATACGGGGCCGATGTACTCGCTCTTACTGATGTAGGAATTGCACTACTACTACTAGAAGTAGTAGTAATAGTACTAGATGTCCTACTACTATTACTACTACTACTACTACTACTACTACTACTACTACTATATATTATGTAAATTGATATAAATAGTAGTCTAACAAGTCACCATTTACTACTACTTAGGATGGCTACACGGCACTGGATCTGGCCATTTGGAGAGGTCACTTGCAAATCATTGAATTGCTGCGATCACAAGGTTGCGTGGCACCAATGAAAGGTAAGAATGGTAGTAGTAGTAGTATAGCGTAGATACTATTTGCTATTTGACTATAGTAGTATAGTATATATTGTAAAATAGTACTTCTGTGTTCTAACTTTACTATTGCTACAGAACCGGAGAGTCTCAATGGTAAAGTAATCTCTCATCTTGGCCGTAAAGCCACTGTGGTTTTCTTTGAACCTTCTACAAGGATTCGTACAAGCAGTTTACGTGGACTTTACTATGAAGATAAAGGAGAAGCCAAGCTAGTGAATCTCTGGGCAGGTACAGATTACAAGATTATCGGTTCGAACCCGTACTATGACGAACTTCGCAAATTCGACTACCAATTTGCTGAAATCCCGGTGACATTACCAGAGGAATACGACGCCATGCTACAAGGTGCACTTCAAGGAGCAGCTTTCTTCGACAATGACAGTGACAGTGAGAGTGACAATGAGATTGAAGAAATTGTGGAAGTTCGAGTACCCCCTGGTCCCTTGGGTGTGCTACTGGATAGTGGAATTCAAGAGTGTGCCGTCGTTCATGGATTCACAAACCTTTCGACTGGTGAAAAAGGACCTATTGAGTTGCACGGTGATGTCTATCCAGGCATGTACATCATGAGCATTAATGAAACCAATGCGTCTTTGATGTCTCTGCAACAAGTCACACAACTACTAGGCAGACTGTCGCGCAAGGAAAAGCTTATTCGCTTTGCCGTCTTCCGTCCTGGATCGCCACGTAATCACAGCTGTAGCATCACGGACACGGCTTCTGAGATTTCAAACCAGCGTTCATCCATCACGTCCAATGCGTCGCTTCCGCCCTCCGTGCCAGCCTCCGCCAAACCACTAGCACCGAGCTTTTCGTCGCGCTTTGCAAACCTGGCAGCATCTGTCATGGACAAGAAGCCACCCACTCCTCGCACCAGTATCACCATGTCAAGGGATGCAGGCACCCCTAAGGCTGCCGAACGTTGTGCACACTGCAATATGCCTGCCACGGCACACCGTTCTGAAGATTGCCCGAATCGGTGAAGAGATACATCAATCAGATGCGTGTGTGCAAGAACTTAAGTTTAATCGCTGATGAACGTCACTGTCTTATTCGTAATACTCTCGTTTCCTTAGACGCAGAGCTGTACACGGGTTCCCTCTTCCGCTGGCTAAATAATACGTTGGGGAGTGCGTACTCCCCCGAGAGATCTAGAGCACCATGTAAAGCGTTCCTTGAAAAATGTCGGGTCCCGGCAAAGTCCAAGACGCAAGCGCACAATTCTGGTTGAAGAAATACTGCTTGCCAGTCGTTTGAGAAAGCACGGACTGCCACCCTAGTCCCGTACCGTCGGGGCTCTCCCCGACGTCCTCAAACGTCGAATCTCCAAGGTAGTCCACAAAGCTGCCATCGCCCATGGCTAGTGTCAAATCGAACAGACTTGTGCGTGGTCTGCCGCTCTGCTTCAACTCCTGCTGTGCACGTCGAGCCGCGGGTGCCGCATTTCGATCCAACAAGCTGACAAAGTTGGCGGCAATTTTGGCTGCACGGTCCGCGTTCGCCTTGGTCTCAAAGGTTGTGAGCGCGGCCATTGCTGACTGCGTGCTGGCTGGAGCCTCCGTTGTTTCCTTCATTTCATTGCGAAGGTCACGCAAGTTGGACGAAATTTGATTCATTCGGTCAAGATGCACCTGCAAATCTTCTAGTTTGATAGTCTCCTCTTCTGGTGCTGCTGGTGCAGGGACTGGAGCCGGAGGTGCTGCTGCTCGAGAACCGTTAGAAGCCGCCGCGTTCTTTTCGCTAGCACTGGCACTTGCCATACTGTCCGTTAGCATCTCAGCTACTCTCGGTGGCGGAGGCGAGGCACTGATAGGACGCGATGCAGTCGATTTTCTAGACTCGCGACTGTGTCGTCCGCCAGAGCCAACAACCAATCTTTTCGCCACTTTATGAACCACCATTGGTACCTGAATTTCCTCTCGGTCCAAACTGAGCCGAGAAATATCTTGTGCGTTTTCGGGCTGTATCGTTTCTATTACGAGCTTCTCCGATGCCATGCCACCTCGCAATACAATGCCACCGCTGTCTGGATTAACTTCTTCAGCAACATATTCTTCTGTCTCCAAGCTTCGTCGCAGTACAACGTCTACATTTACAGGATAGACTTCCTCTCTGACCAACTCTTTCACCTTCACTTCTTTGCATTCCATGCTGCGACGCGAAATTGTACAAGAATTATCAGGAACCATTTCTTCTATAATGAACTCCTCCACTTGCACAGGAACAGGAGCATCAGCTTCCAATTTTGCACCGAAAAATCTACTTTCCACAATTTTGGAGTTCTCATCCACCGTGAGACAGCTGGCCGAGTCAGAATCGTTCGATGCTGCGTCGAGATTGACATTCTCTTCTTCTGTTAGAAAGCTAGCCACTTCAACTTTGCGTACCGACGGCATGTCTATGTCCAGTGTCATGACTGTAGCCTGCATGAACGATTGTCTAACAACGTGCTGCGCGTGACCTTCCGTATTAAGAAAGTTGCCAGCGTCGTCTTTAGTAAACTCCTCCTCCGTGTCGCTGTACTCCGCCAGCTCAGCGGCTTCAGCTTCGTAGTCTCTCTCAGTCCGCGACGGATGCTGAAGAAATGTCTCCTTATACTTCCCAATACCAAGGTCGAGCTCCACAGCGACAGGTGCAAGAAACCCGTCACCAAACAATTGCGGCTGAAGCTCTTCAACCTCTAGCCGGTTCTCTTCATCCCCAGCTGACGAAGATGATGTAGACGCCTTTGACAAACGTTCATTCTTGCCCATAGAAGAAGACGTCGGGCGAAACTGAAACATGGTGGGTATCTGTTTGCGCACTGTTGAGGTTCCGTTGCCACTGCCTCGACTGCCATCTTCAACGGACTCCTGCGAACTCGTGCCAGAGGTTGAGTCGGAGAGAAAACTACGTTGAGACTCGTTGGAAGTTTTTCCTGTGAACCCGTGCGAGCGTGCCAAGAACGAGTTGCTTAATGCTAGGAGGCTGCGATTGCTGCCGTCCGGGCCGATACGAGGAATATCACTATGCTGTGCAGACGATACACGTCGTGGCAATTCTCGGCTCTGCATCTTGCTGCTGCACTTGATACAGATGCGTGTTTTGCGCTTTCCTCCCGGGGACGAAAGATCACTCAGACGCTGGTGTGCTGTCACGAGCTCGAACACACTGCACTGGCTACAGATGACGTCTCCACACGCCGCACAGTTATATTTTTTCCGCACGAGGGAGAAACTACGCGTGCACACAACACAGCAAACACGGCGGCTCAGCGGCACCATGTCCCTCGGTCCAGCGTGTACCAGCATATCGAGACGGCGCTGGTTGACGTAGTCTCGTATACAACCTGAGCGCATCGCTGCTGTATCCACCATCTTGTACACAAGCCAAGACGGCAGACGGTCTCCTAAGTCGTTGATCATCATAGTAACAAATTCCAAACTTCCTGGTGCTCGCTCACTCCACGTCTGCAGTGTCAGCGTCTTTGCCCGTACAAAAAGGTGTTTGGTGTCACGGGGTGGCAGCACGTCTAGACCCACACTCTTGCTCAGACGGTAACCGACGCGGCGGCCATCGCCATCTTCAAATGAATCCACAATTTCCACATAGACGTAATCACGGTGTTTGGCAACCGAGGGCGCCAGTGACCGCATACAATGCCACTTGACACACACAAAGCGTTCTTCCGGTGTGCGTGGCACAAGTGTATACAGCACTTGTCCGTCCAGAAACTCACTGGGGTTCACAGCATTCTCGTGATCGACAAAGTCGGTAGTGGCCTCTGTAATCAGCAAGTCACTAATCTCTCGAAATGTGGCGCTAACATTGCAACTTCCTCTTACAGCCGCATCCAGGAGCGTATTGTCCGGTCCACTTCTTGCTCGATGGATCGTCACGCCTCCTTTCGCTCTACTGGGCGACCAGCGCACACGACCAAAGCCGAGACTGAGATTGTACGCGTCATCCACAGACTTGTCAATAAAGTTCACAAGGGCTTCAATTTTTTCCGTTGAAAGCTCTGGTAGATGCTGCATCACGTCACTGATTTCCGACGACATACTCGCATCTCGTGGACTTGAAGGCGACGTGGCCGAGGACGATCGTGCAGATGGAGATTGAACCGATAGTGATGAAGATGACGACACGAGTCTCGATACAAATCCATCCGAGCGGGACAAGGGCGAAGGTCCTGAAGACGTCAATGACGACGGAGAAGCTGCTGTTTTTTTCAATCTCGGCTGATTCCGATGTCTCTGTTGTTGTGGTGGTTCAAAAGGATCGTCTTCTTCGTCATCTTCTCGATCGAGAGCATAAGAGGATGAAAGTCCATTCCCACTTCGACTGCTGCTATTCGAGTCGGAAAGTGTCTGTCGACGACGTCGATGGAGATTAAGTTTAGCTACACTAAGTGCAGCATTAAAAGTCCCAGAAGCAGCAGCACTTAATGCTGAAACAGTAGATGAACCTATTAAAGGACCAGTCATGAAGACGGAAGAACCACCACGAGGTGATGTAATAAAGGGTGCGTACTCCGGACGGGGCATGCCAATGCCAATGGTCGAACCTTTAGGTACGGAACTGAATCAAAGAGAGAGGGGTGGGGCTGTCTATACATATGGCAGGGAATAGGGGAAGAAAATGCACAAAGACAGGACGAGGACGTCGCTTGACTAGTTCTCGACGTTATATAGGCCCCACCCAGTAGATGGAGTGTATAGTACACGTGTAGTTTTATCGTTTATAGAAACGGGGAGGGGGGGGGGGGGTTACAAATCTCTATGACTGTAACTTTAGATTTAATCAAGTCAATGTATGTAGGATATAAAAAGGTGAATTTTGTATTTATAGCGGTTAGCGAAAGGGTACTGGACACATTTGACACACATATGGAGCAGCGGATGAGGCACGAATGTGTACTCTTGTATGACTTTATACTCTCTATGGATGGGTGCGTATAAACACATGGTACTGCTATCATCTGGCTAGCGGTGATTCAAAACCAGCGGTTACAATTTGTTAGTAGCAGGCTCAAAATAAGGTGAAACTTATATGTAAGTAAAATATAGAGAAGAAGACGGGGTAGTTCCTATCATGTAATTTATATGTGTTATTATTATACATAAAGAAGACTGTATACTTCCTTATAATAGTTGCACGTCACACAACTGTACGTCACAACTGTACGACACACTGTCACTCTATCGAGGCATACGACGACCTATCATTCCATCCGACACACCGGCTCTCGATCAAGCTTCCATACAAAAAACTAGTATAGAATAACGGCCTATTTCAATGACGCACGTCTTGGTGTCAATAGGTGACCGTAGCTACGCGCTATCCGAGACGCTACGGAGTACCGAGCTAGCGCCAATTTTTGATGATGCATGGACAGCGTCACGTGTGTGGGAATCTAGTCGCTTTCTCGCCGAGTGTCTAGTACGTTTCTCTTCCGAGTCGCCCGCGTTTTTTAACGTCAGTGATGGTCAATCCGTACTGGAGCTGGGGAGTGGATGCGGCCTTGTGGGACTCGTTGCAGCCTCTCTTGGAGCAAATGTACTGCTTACAGATCAACAGGAAGCGATCGAGTTGCTGCATCGGAATATTAAGACCAATGCGACGTCTGAGAGTGAGCTAGCGCGTTTGCACGTGGCCGAGTTTGTCTGGGGCTCTGACTGGACTCCGCCTTGCAGTAGCTACCATTACATCCTCGTATCGGATTGTATCAATCCCATTTATGATCAAGAAAGTTGGAGAGATCTTGCACGAAGTATAAGCAGATTGAGTAGCCAGGATACGGTCACGTACTTGGCACACGAAGCTCGAGGAGACGATGAAGCGATGACGGATTTCCTCACCTTTAGTGCAGACGTGTTACGAAGCGAAAACATGAAGCAGCAGGGTAAGATCAGTCTCTATAGAATCACAAAGCTCTAGAAATAGAGTAGGGAGTCACGACGTGGACCTTTCCAAGAGCTCCGCTGACGTACTTTTGAGCCACAGCAAGACGTTTTTTTCGTGTTGCCACGTCCTGATAAAGTTCCTTCCTCATCGAATGGTGAAGAACTGTCACGTTACTAACGCTTTGGATTCTCGGCAAAAGATTCGTAATGCAGTCACCTCAGTTTGAACAACCAGAGCCGCTGCTAGTTCATTTGGCAACATGAATGTTATATGAAAAACATGGGAACCAGTGAACCTGCCAGCAGACAACACGATTTTATTTCGTTAGGTCACATTACTTCGGCATAAGACAATCGTGAATCTTGTACCCATGACGAGAAAACAATGGATGCTTGCTGGGAGTCAGCACTAGCTACGATTCGTTATGTGCGCTGGTTTCCATTGTTACCACGGCGCTCACCTCACTCCGCACACTACAAAATCGTTCACAAACGTGACACACTTGGGAGGAACAATGTCAATGACACAGACAAGTTTTGGAATGTTCAAGCATAAATCGAGTGACAATGGCTTCAGAATTACCTTTATGTTTCGTTTTGCCTCTACTTCATCAATTCTCGCTCCAGCTCAAGATTTCGGACTGTCAATGTATACTTGGGCTTCTTTTCAGCACTCTTCATTGCAGTAGTACCATCAGCGCTGCTACTGTCCTGCGCTCTTTCTTCCGCCGATACTTTCATTATCATCTCCTCAATGATACCAGGGGTGGCTTCACGTGGTACGGCGTGTCCACACACTTGTAATATGGCGTGTCCAATGCGAAGCAACCCTGATTTCTCTGCTGGTCCCGGGCTCGAGACAAACGCTCGAATACAAACTGCCTCGTCCTTCCAATTGCCAAACAATATACCCAGTGGAGCTTTCGGAAATACGATCTCCTTCATCAAGGTCTTTCTCAATATGTCACAAGCATTACCAGTCGTTGTAGTCGTGGCTGTGAAATCGACTGCATCAGGTACTTTGCTCTCTTTCGTACTCTCATCACATTCCTCATTCTTTTGATCACCCTCGTTCAATTGATCCACGATCTTGTTGTACACGAGACGTCGTTGCTGGAACTCTTTTTGCATCGCAACATAGTGTTCGGGACTTACAAACACGGCTCGCATAGGCTCCTTTTTGCTGACAATGACACGCAGGGCCTCCATAATATCCGCAAAGCTCGTGTAGTCTGGACTTGTGAGTGAACACATCGTTCACATGCAGCAACACGTCACCCTTCTCCACTAAGTGGGTCCGCTGAGCAAAGGAGGGAACACGTGTGAAGGCAGACAGCACCACATACTGCCTGTCATTAGACGATGGGTCGTCTTCATCACATGTAAACGAAGATGCGTCCTCAGTCTCAATCATTGGCGGCCAGTCACGTAGCTTAATGATGGCATCGGGACTCGTTGCAAACTGCATTGTCACAGGACGACTTTTTAAGTCGTGAAGAATGACCAACACTTCGGACAGCGTTTTGAAGCGCAGATCGACATTGTTGACTTTTGTCAGGAGTTGACCGACCCGAATTTTGTCACTAAGTTCTGCTGAACACTTTTTGCCATCAGAGTTTGCAGTAAATCCCACAATTATAACGCCACATGACGCCAGTGGACGAGCTCGTAGTCGTAATCCAAAAGGTCCTTTTTGTCGAAATATAAAAGTAGTAAATTCGGGTTGTGGCTTCATCTGCTGCCGCCAGCTTTTTGTTGGGCTTTCGGGATACAACGAAAACCGAATCATAAAAGGAAGAGGAAGGGTTTCTAATAGACCTCTCAGTTCCTCGACAGTCAGTTTACTGCAAGACAGGCCATTGAGTGCCAGTACGCTACTACCCACAGGAACGCGTTTCCAATTTTCAGTCAAACGAGAATCATGATTCTCGTCTGATCCATTTTTGTTAGTGGATGGCATGTCGAGATCCAGAATGCGTGACACAACCACGTGCTTGTTCAACACGCCCTTTGCAAAGGTGAAAGGCACGGTGCTCCGCTTCGTGAACGTGCATTCCAGCTCTTTTTGCGGCTGAATCTCAATTTCCTCCGCACCACGCCACGGACTGGCACTTGGTAAATCTTCCATTCGGATATCCAGCAACTGAAAGATCAATGGCCAGTACTCATTCATTTGCTTGTTCAGCGTACCCAGCAACTTTATCGTATGCTTCAACAATTTCGTTTCCATTGTCTTGGCCAAATACTCACGAATCAACTCGGCGAAAAGAGTTGTCAACACATTGTAGACTGCGCTAAACCAGCTTCCTTGGACTGTAAGCTTTAGTTCTTGGCGGATATCAATTGTTATCGAGCTAAGTACCAATACCGGCTTGACCTCTCCGGTTTCCTCGTTCACGACTTTTTTTCGGCTTTAAAGCCTAAGGAAATCACACCGCCACTTAGCGCAGCATCCGCTACACCGCCACCATGAAGATAAGGGAAATACTTTTGTTCAAAAGTCCAATCAAAACCCTTGAGAAGTGCCGTCAAGTGTGTCGCTCGAACTGTGAATAATTCTTCGTCGACTACTGTTCCCATTCGCACGCTAACCCGCTCCTTCTTCACACGAAAGTTCGACAAATCGAATTCGGAAATCGAGTACGCAATGTCGTCTTCCACGCCCGAGATCGTGTCAACTTTCAAGGTTGGCAAAACGGACGTTAAGAAATCCAAACAGTGATCTTTCATTTGGTCCACAAACTCCTGCCGCTTCTCACGGTTCTTTGATATCGTGGTCCCCCACTGGGCGAACTTGTCCAGCTTAATTTCGCCAATAGCTTTCGTCACATTATCACAGAACTCGTCAGGGTTTTCCACAGACTGAACCAGTGCCTTTGCTTTCTTCATCAACGTCTGTCCATGTGATGTCTGCTGCATCTGCATCCAACACTTTTCAGATGCATGAGCCAAAACCTCGGCCTTCAATGACAATTTCGGTAACAATTCCTCAGCTTTTTGCACTAGCATGTTAGGGTCCAGCTCGACCACTGAGTTCACACTAAGCGTCTTGCTTGCCATTTGTTCAAAGTGACCAATTATCTCTTGAGCCTTGATTATGTCGCTTTCGTGCTGTTGCAGTTTCGCAAAGACTTCTGACTGCAGATCCTGACGCTCCAAAGACGCTTTCAGCGCATCCAGACGCGGCTTTTGCGCGTACATTTTGCTCTCTACAACTTGCAAAATCTGTGATAAAACAAGTTTTTTCTCTTCTTGTGACGATACCAGTAGCGACGAAGAAGTACTATCCTGAGAAAAAACTTTCTGTCGGGCAGAGGCGAGTTCTGAGCTGGCCTTCTCACGAAGGCTTGATTGCAGATTCTTGATCTCCTCACTGTTCTTCAATCGGCTCAAAACATTCGCTGCTTTTGCGAAAAAAACAGCAGAGTCCATACCTTCAAGCAGGTCGCCCTCCAGCATCGTCTTTGCAGAGACCGCCATCTCCTTCAAACGCTCGAGTTCTTTCCCACTTGCATTCTTCAAGCGCTTCGTAGCGTGTGAAAAGCTGGGGTCAAGCAACGAAGCCAATGCTTTCGTGTACTGATCGCCGTAGGACGCATTTGTAGAGATAAATGAGATGGTATTGGCGTGCTGCTCGCAGAACATTTGAAGGCGGTCGTACGTCTGTTTCGCCTTAAGGCTCAGCAAAGCTGCGTCATCACGTGTGATCCGGCCCTGAAACTCGTCGTAAATCCTCTCTGCAGACAAAGGCTTAGGAACCTTCGCCAGCAGTCGGAGATCGACACAAGCAACGTCCTGGGCTCGCAAATAGCCAACGCTACCGCAGTCCAATTGCACAACGTACAAATCATGTGAGCTTTTGTAATTTATAATGTTTCCAAGCCCAAAACTCGTCCGAACGCGAGTCTCTTTTGTCAGACGAAGCTCTTCTTTCTATCAGTAAAACTCAATGTAGTGTCAAAAGAAGCAATACCCACAATAAAAATGAACCAACAGCATTGTAAATTCACGCACCGTCAGTAGTTTTGTACGCTCATCTGACGCCTTTTGAACCTTCTCCTCAGCACTGACCACGTTTTCATCGTCAATCAACACTTGATATTTTTGCTCTGAAACGCTATTTAAGACCAAACAACAGCAGCAGGAGCAAATAATAAAACTGTGAGATTAAGAGAAGTAAGCGTCCATTTATATTTTGATTCGACACGTACATATAATTCAGTACCACACCTTCTTTTCCATTCATTTGTAAGACCATCACTCTCGTAAGTCTTGGCATTTCTCCACACTGCAACATGCGGAACTCGGGCATTAAGCAGCCTCTCTGTCCAAAATCAGTACTTTTCAGTATACTCAATTCAAATAAAATGACCTTCATGACTTTGTTTCTTACTCTCGCGTATAATACAACGCCACCTGCTAACGTCACCTCTACATGTGTCTTATAATCACTGCAATTACGCACACGTCCTGGACCAAAAGGCGTCTTCACGTCGTCTCCTGTTTGGTAACGCATGGCCATTGCAAAGAGCTTCGGGACCTCTTCACTCCCCATCGTCTTTTTTTGTCTTTAATAACGTAAATAACAAAATGAACTTTGATCAGCCAGTACAAAAACACAAAAAAAAGGTAAAAACAAAGCGTCCTGATTGGCTGAAACAAACACAACGAGCCAAGACCTGTTAGCGCGACCGTTTAATGGCAAGCTGACCAATCAGAGACCATCGTGTATAGCCCATGTCCCTAATAATTGGCTTGGTTATGTGCCTCCCTTACTTCTTTATCGCCTGAGAAATGCATCAAGTGGACCTTTTCTTTTCTTGGCCTTTCTTTGAACAGCTGTACCCGCACTGAGCTTCATCGCAAAGTGAAAGTCCGCATGCTCATCTTGAGGTTCTGACACAAAACAGTTGCACTCGTTACAAAAGTGAGTGGTACTTGATGACGTCCTTTCTTCTTGGGTGTAGGTTGAAGTTGACTTTTTGATGCAACTCGTTGCGTCTGTCTCAGCCATCACGTGGCTCTCCTCAACATCGTTGCTGTCGTGATTCAATGGACCAAAAAAAGCCGATATTTTTCGTCTGCTGCTTTTTCGTGACGATAATTCATCTCGGCCTCGTTTTGCAGTAAACTGTTTAATATCATCCTCCACACGCTGTGCAGTTCCATTGGCAGACGACACTTCGTCCACATTCCGCGTGAAAAAACTTGAGATGGTGGTTACAGTCTGCGAGTTCAGATCGTGAAAGTTCTTGGCGTGCATGCTTAGAGCTGCCAACGGAAACAGACTGTCCAAATAGAGGCGCATTACGTTCATTGCAGCCACGTGTAGCTCGTCCACCGTCGTGTCTTGGGCGATGCCAAGCTTCCGCGTGCGTGGCTTGTCATCGGGTTTCGCGCGTGTGAACTGGATCGTCAGTTGCGACGGGAACCGCTTGTTCTCAATGCGCTCGTCCTCACAACGCATTACCATTTCCTCACACAGCAGCCGCACCCAGTACTCTAGCTGCTCTACGCGCGCAAGCGCCGACCCGGAGCGCTGATCAAACTGCTTTACACAGCTAAGCATCTTCACTTGAACCTTTTTCTCTTCTACTTGTTCGTCACCGTCAATGCCCTGACAGATTTGGTGAACATACGCGGCAGTTTCTTGACCCACGTGCTTGCTCAGCTCTGCCATTCCGCAACGCTGAAGGAAGGCGTGCGCAGTTAGCTTCTTTGATGTGTCCTCTGCTTCTCTTTCATCCAAAGCTCGTACTCCCGCCGGATCTAGGCTTTGATAAATACTCTCCAGCTGTTTACCGAGCTTACCGCCAAGTCCGCGAACCTTCCGCATCGGTAAACTCTTCATGAGGTTGCTAACAAACCGAGGTGCTACCACGACTTGTCCGTTAGGTTTGTTGAGTGGGGACGCCAATTTGGCCAATAGTTTATTACTTGCAATGGCTGTTGAACACGTGTAACCAAGCTTGCTATAGATCGCCTGACGAATTTCTCGAGATATCACTGCACCAATGCAAAGCAATCGCTCATTATCCGTCAGCGGGAAAGCCTGCAATGTATGTTCCTCTTCCTTGGCATTGCAAAACACTTTCGTGTCGTGGTTGGCGGGATCCTGGCAGAAATCTGACGAAAACACAGTCTACAATAACAAAACATATCATGAGCAATGGCAGGTTAACCTTCATGCATATCAGCATCAGATTTTACGCACCATCTGCGCAAGTCTCTTCTCAGCCATGTCTGTGACGTCCATAAAGGCCTCATCAATGCCCGCCTTTTCAATGACCGACACCATTGAGCTCAGAATGCTAAAAATCTCACGACTGGCGACGCGATACCTCCGTAGAATAGCCTTCTGATGTGTGCGATCAAACGCCTGTCCTGGCTTACGGTTTTCTCCTAGCGTGTCAACATGTGGCTAGAAGCAATACTGTCAATCAACCCAAGACCAAGTGACCAAGATCAAGTGACTGTAGTAAGAGAAACGTACCAAGTGAATCTGTGGACATTTCTTCTTCGCATCATCGACAAAGTCTCCTACAAGTCCATATCATCAATCGATGTAATAGTTAGCGCTTATTTATGATCGCAAATAGCGATATGATAGCAATTCACCTCGCTCGACACCAAACTTGCGTGCAGCGTAATTGACAGCTAAGAGACTTCCCCACTGCTGTACTGCAACGGGCTGTCCATCCGGGATATTAAGACGTCGCTGCTCTACTTGTGCATAATAGCAGTCGAGATCCAAATGGATGATCACCCGCGTCGAGGCAGTTTTCTCATCGGCTCGAAGCATGATGATACTATGGCACAATTCATGCAGACTATTACGGAATTCTCTCTATATATAATCGCTATAAAAATAGAAAAGAGCTAATCATCCCCCACAATCTTGCTAACCAGCCTCCCCAAATTTATTAGAATTTCAGTGGTTAAATCGGAGTACGGCTTTTATAAATTTTAGACTTTCTAATCTACTGCTGCTACATATTGTTGCTGCTGTGCTGCTGTTGCTGCTGTGCTGCTGTTGCTGCTTGGCGACGACAGTTTCGGGTATTGTGGCATATCTATTGGCAATCTGACATTGTCGACGTCGCACAAGAGCTTTCAAAATAGCGGCAACATATTGGATCCCTTAAGCAAAATATTAATTCAGTGCTATACAATTTGCCCATGTGAACTAAAACTTAGCTTCCTGTATGGATTTAAGCATATACACATCAAACTTGTGCTCTTTTAGTTGCTGCGAACCGCACGCATGTGCTAACGAGGTCTTACACCCCTGTACGAATGCCTGGGAGGGGATTGATTGGGAGCAAATAGGATATAAAGCTTTGGCATCACCGTCTTTCTGGATGCCGATCCTTTTTGTGCGTTTGACTCATCTTCCTGCTGTGCATGGACATTAATTGCGGCCTCTTGCGTGTTCGAAGGATACAAATGATAAGCTATGGAGATGGTGCAAGACTATTCATTGTGGTTGTGAGAGAGGTTCAGATAGTCTATTTTTTCACGGTGTTAACCATGTGCAAGATCTCTGGAAAGTCCTAAGCCAGGATATCAGCGCCGGATGGCCCGACGTTATATCGTGGCTGACCGCCGTAGAACTCGGTGGCTCTCTAGGATCGCGCTCAAGCAGTTCGATGCAAGCATAAAGCAAGGCACCTCGTGTGGCTGACGCAATTTTTCGATGCTCCCTCTTTGCGATTGCTCGGAGCTGACAAAGGCACGAGGCCCAAAAACTGGCGATGCTGCTAAGAATGTGGAGTGTGACAGCCTTAAAGACGGCTGCATTCCTGTCAATCCAAAATTCGTGTTTGGTATATCGTCGCGAGGACATGCCAAATTTGTGTCCAGACGCGTTTGGCTTCTTTGGCGTCATCCTGAAATCGGTCCGCTAGGATTTTTGTGCGGTACTCGGGTATGCTGTCAACCCGTCGACTTGCACATGCCCCTAGAAAGTTTTGGGTCACTTGTCGGGTGACGATTTGCCCAGTCCAGTGACCAATGAGCTTTTTCCAAAGCGCTGCAGCGCAATCACATTCCCAAAACAGATGGACAATGGTCTCCTTCCTGCCGCTGCAATCCGGCGTCTTTTTGCAACTATTGCGGTCGATTCTCTCGGCGTGATACAAATTTAATTGTCTTGTCGCCACCCGGTACCCTGTCCAGACTTGATATGGGGTGAGACCATTACTATGATCCCACACTTGCGTCTGTGTTTGCTGGAGCGCTGCGCGTTGCCATTCATCTGTTGTTGCCGATTGCGAAAGGCGATCAACGAGGGCCGAAAGTTGACGGGCGGCTTGCTTGCCTAAGGCCTTCGTGACCAAGTGATTCGACGTTGTGTCTGGAACAGACCAAGGGAACCGATGCAGCTGCGGGTGCGCCTCAAATACGAGACCCCCTCTTCGAATAGCGCGCCCAATCGCCTGTCGGTCAGATGGTGAAGCGTCAGTGAGCTCCGGCAGTAATCCATGGCAAAACCAATGGATCCCATCACCAGCTTGGTGCAAAGTGACGGGGCGGTTTTCGCCGTGGTTCGATCTCCGTTAAGTTGCCCACGATAATGCCTTTACCGAGTATCTTCCAGCGATAGCTTTTCAATTGTGGTGGTGCCTGTCGAAGGCGCAGTGGCGGTGTCGCGTTTAATTCTGTCCCGATGGGTAAGTCCGGGGATGACAATAGGAGGGCTGTTACCCACCGTCGAAGTTTTGCGTCCGAATGGGAACCGGAGTGACCCAGAGGTATAGGGACCCACATGACGAATTTCGCTGGCCCCGTCCGCAAGATGTGATGGTGTTCGAGGGTGCAGTCTTCATTTTTATTATACTTGGTCCTGGACAGCATGTTGCCGCTCTGATCCCGAATCCATGGGTTCGCACTCCATTTGAAGGTGGCCCAGAACCTCTGAATTTCTTCCGGCATATCATTGTACCCCAGTAGGTGTGTTGGGAAAGGGTCAATGAACGACAACACCAATTTGTCCCCATCCCACCAGCTGGTAACTCGGTCAAGTAATATTCATTGTGGTTGTAATGGAGACTGAAGTTTGTATTATTATCGACGTCCGTCTTCTACTTAAAGAAAAGGGACCTCCCATAGGATGATTACTTTCGGCGTCTCGTAAGCTGCACAACGCCGCACGAAATCATCTTATCGGAGCACCAGTGCCAATAAGACTGAAGGTACGGCCACATTGCTCGACCCAGCAGCAAGTCTGCCAACGAGTGGCTTTATATACATTGTTACATTGTTACATTGTCAACATCTATACTCCTGAGCGTCTCTTCTGTCAGATGCAGAAATGGCCATGGCCTCAATCAGAGGTGGTGCTATGTGGTGATTTCAATTGTGCACAGAGTCCCCACCTCGACAGATTAGGAGGCGTGCGGTCGGGACGCCAGAGTCGGAGCCTTAACTTTAAGCCTTTGGACTCGAAGAGTCGAAGACTGGCAGCATTAAAGCTACCTACCCCTGAGAATACGGGAGGATAGCGTTCCCAGACATCGCTGTCATAGCGATAAAGAATATGGTGAATTGCTTGCTCCGTCTGCGTGACCACGCTATGGATGAAGCAGAACAAGAGCATCCATACGCAGGAAAGTACGTCCACGAACAGGAGGTAGCGGAAGTCAAAAACAAGTTCTTCTTTGCTAACTCCGAGTGGTCTTCATCAAGGAACAACGGCGAAATAGGGATTTGAACAATGGTGTCTACCTCCGCGTAGCAACGGAGATAATTCAAGACACTATCGTTGACCGGCAGTCGGAACTGCACAGCGCTCATAACCGACAAGGGACATCTCTTGGGTACTAGAATGGCTGAGTACTTTACAGATTCTAGAAAACCATACAGTATGAGTGCAAAACGGTCTGACAATTTAGATTTTGAAAAAATTTGGGAAGATAATTAGCCCTCACCTTATTATCCGCTTTTTCTAATTCTTTTTATGTTTTGCCACCCCTAATCCTGCAACCATTAATGTAAAATTGACTCGTCTACTTTTTTCTCTCAGTCTACAGTATGCATGAGCTCATATGAATCGCTAGCTTTCTCTGCTCGATCGTGGTAAACGTACTGAGAGGATTGTCTGTGTACACACTTACATGCTTCAGAAAGCGTCAACGAATGGACGGACAGTTATTTAATCAGATCAGGGAAGATACATTAAAAATCTGTAGATCCATATGAGCTCCATAAAAGAGGATCTGATTTCCATGGAGCATCCCACTCCATTCGTTTGCGATAGATTCAGTGGTCTTGCTTGACACGTTTAATGTAATCAGCGCAGTATGTGTATCTATCTCTACTGATGAAGCATTTCTATCACCAATTCAGGTCAAAGGACGCACATCTTGTTGAATCCATGAGCCTTTTTGACCTGTGTAGATGCACACTGTGATGCTAATCCTGGGCTAGGATTCTGGCATTACTCGCATTTATGATATGATACGCCTTCCTTCTTCTCTTGTTCATCGATGAATATTCATCAGAAAACAACTACAAAATGGACTCTTACGGTCGATAATCATAGATACTCCTAGGCCATTTGTATCAGGAAGCTCACATTAAGCATAGGAGGCGAATGGGTCACTATTAATCTCTTTTAACTTTCACCACTAGGCCGTAAGACCAGGGGATCCTTTTCCGACCAGCACTTGCGTCTCATTTTATGCATTGTGACCTGATTCAGCAGCGTAAGTAATGGAATCGAAACCGTGATTCGATCAGGACTTGATCACCTCATTCAGTCAGTACAGTCTCAGCATGGCATTGGGAATCCAGACATAGACGTATCCTAGCGACGTCGCAGAGGCAGAATCTGCATGAGTTCGTTCCAGTGCTGAACACTTTTGATTTTGCACGAAAGAGCATGGATTCATGCACTTCTTTGTCCATCAATGTCAATGAAGTCCTCTCGACTAGATGACTTCATTTTGTAATCTGCCAACAATCGAGTACGCACAAGGAGCTCGAGTGTTTGGCTGATAAGGAGTCTCTCTCCACATATCCTCTCATATCATGCACGTCTTAACGTTTACATCACTACTTTTGCTGCATTTGGGTATCGCTCATGTGACCAACAGTGCAAACTCGATAAAGTCATCGGATACGTCGTCCATCTCCAACAACGTGCCATGGACACTTGCGGACAATGCAACAGTCCTGGCCGACCTTCGGTCGCGTCTCACCAAGTGTACATACTCTAAAGTCAAAGAGTGTATTCAGGACCCGGCACGTTTATCAGAACTTGGCTTACTCGTGCGTGCACCTGGCTACTGCCTAGCTTTCGACGCAGCCTACGTCAATGTTACTACCCCAAGTGCCGCCATCCCTAACCGGTACTATCCGACATCGGTAGAGGCCGCGTATGCCGCTGGTTTCTCAAACAAATTCTCCGAGTGGTCAGACGACAACCGTGAGCAATTTGAAGTGGACTGTCCGCTGTTGTTCAACGAAACCATTTCTCAGGGTGACGACATGTTGTGCTGTACTGAAAAGCAGTATACAGGTCTATCCTCGCAGGTCCGTATGATCCCTGGGCTGTGTTCAGCCTGCAAGGAAAATCTGCGTAATATCTTCTGCCAGTTCACATGTAGCCCGAACAACAGCATGTTCCTGGACGTCAATGAAGTTCGTATCATGGGAGGTGACGACGAACATCCTCATGCTGTCTTTCCTGCCATCGAGGAAGTCACGTACTATGTGGGCAATGACTGGATTCGTGACATTTACGACTTTTGCGAAGACGATAGTTCATTCTCGCTCTTGTGTAACCCAAACCAGGACTGTAGCGACGGCTACGGTCTCATGGACTTCATGGGTAAGTACGCCTACAACAGCATTGGATCTCCGCTTCAACTAAACGTGACAACAATGGACAAGCTTCCAAAGTCGACGCAGATGACCAAATTTTGCCACTGTGACGACGCAATCGCGACCAATTGCATTCTCCCAATGAATAACAAAATGACGTCGTGTGTCGGAGTCTGTGGCTCGCTCTGTGCTGTGGGTTCCAACGATGACCGCACGTACTCTGAGTCTTGCTATGGAGCTATCAGCCTTTCAAGCTCTAAATTAGGTAGTGAAAGCGGTTTTTCGACTTGGGGTGAGCTGAACGCGTTTTTGGCTGCCAATATCCCCGTGACGGACTGGACAACACTCAACTACTTCCTTGTGATTTTTGGTGGAGTGGTTGCCTTCATTCTCATTGTCGGATTCCTCGTCGCTGACTGGCGCGAACGAAAATCTCGACACACCGGTACACCCCACGTCGGTCCGTACACGCCTGGGATCCATGGCGTGGCTTCCGCAATGGAGACTAGCTCCACACGGATAAGCTACCTGGACGAGCTGATGACAGACAAGTTACGCACATGGGCTTTGTTCGTCTCAACAGGTAATCGACCAAAGAAAATCATCCCGATAGTGCTCTGCGTTGTTGCTGTCTGCGTTGCCGGTCTGTACAACATTGCAATCGAAACCGACCCGATCAAGCTGTGGGTGTCCACGTCGAGCACCTCCTATCAGCAGCGCCAGCACTATGGTGAGATGTTTAACCCTTTCTACCGCTCGGAGCAGGTTATTTTAGTTCCGAAGGATGGTGGCAACATCTTTCGCTCTTCGATTTTGAAGGAGGCTATCCGTGTTCAGAACGTGGCAGCTGATGTAACTTATACTACGGACGATGACGAGACCACAATTGCGCTAGATGACATTTGCTGGAAAGCCACGGGCACGGGGTGCACTGTCAACTCTATCACGCAGTACTTTCAGAACAGTATTGAGCATTTCGAGTTCTACGAGAAGTATGGCCTGGAGATGGATCATTTCAGTAACTGCTTGTACTCTCCGACGACATCGGACGTGGCGCTTTGCACCCAGCTGAAGAACGCATTGGAAGAGGGCGATTCGCTTCCTGCGACTATGAGCGACTGCCCGTGCTTGTCAACTTTCGGCTCACCGATGAACCTGTACAACACATACCTAGGTGGTTTCCCTGATGGCGCCGAAAAGAACTACACACTGTTTTTGGAATCGGTGGCATTTGTTTCCTCGTATCTGAATTACAATTACGCGGATCAAGACAAGAATGAGCCTGCAATCAAATGGGAACGTGAGTACATTAAGACGATGAAGGCTGAGGCTGAAGCCAACACAGTGTTCAATATCTACTTTTACGCCGAAATCTCGGTTCAGGATGAAGTGGATGCGGAATCAAGCAACGGAATGGGTTCTGTGGCGTTGAGTTACTGCCTGATGATCATCTACATCTCGCTGGGTATCAACCGCATCAAGTTTGGCCGTGAGTTCTTTGTATCTTCGAAGATTATGGCTGGCTTCTGTGGTGTGATGAGTATTGTATGCGGTGTGGCGTCGACAATCGGTATCTTTATGTGGTTTGGAGTCAAGCTGCAACTGATTATTATGGAGGTGGTTCCTTTCCTGTCGCTGGCCATCGGTGTGGATAACATTTTCTTACTTATCCACGCCATGACCGAGAAGGAAGACCAGATGCGTCGTGAGCAACCGAGTCTTTTCGTAGGTCTCGAGCACAACCCGAAGGCGATTGAGGAGATCACCACGATTATCGTGTCTGAGAGTTTGGCATACATTGGACCCAGTATCTTCATGGCTTCGGCGGCCGAAGCAGCGGCCTTTGCCTTTGGCTCCATCTCTGCTATGCCCGTCGTGTTATGGTTCGCAGCTATGGCGTGTTGTGCCGTGGCAATTAACTTTTGCCTCCAGCTGACCTTGTTTTTATCGGTTCTGACATTGGACAAGCGCCGCGAGCTGAGCGGAAAGTACGACATCATCTTCAGGCGCGCAAAGTCGCAAGCACCTGTGGCTCGTCCACAGAGTCAGCAGATAGCAGAGCCGCTTGTATTGCAATCCAACACGCCTGCGCCGGAAGACTCGCGTCGTTCTGTGACGCCGGAGAATCGCACACTGACGGATGTTCTCGACCATTGTGTTGACGCCTACGCTTCGATTTTGACCTGTAAACTTGTGAAGCTCATTGTGCTGCTCGCTTTCCTTGGATGGATGCTCTGGTCAATTTACTCGATGGAATCGCTGGATCAGGGCCTGCCTCAAAAGGAGGCGATGCCATCTGACTCATACATGATTGAGTATTTCAATGCATTGGATGTGTATCTGGCAACAGGTGCGCCCGTGTACTTCATTGTCGAAGCGGGCTATGGTCGTAATCCGGATACCTGGTCGCTGAATGATGAGAGTGTAGAGACGATTTTCTGCAAGTCGAAGGATGTTTGTGACACCTACTCGATTCCCAACATCATGGATGCACTGGCTAACGAAGGTGACAAGACGGTTACTCACATTAGCCTGGGCACAACATACTCGTGGATGGACGACTTCTGGGGCTTTGTGAACCCCGACAGCGAATGTTGCCGCGTGGATTCAAAAGGCGCTTATCTTCCGATAAAGACTGGTAACGACACGTACACAACGCTGCGTTCGAAAGATGACACATGCCTGGCTACGTCGGTGGACGTCCCTCCCGTACCGGAGGATCAGTACATGTCGCTCTTCAGCATGTTTGCAACAGCAAGTGCTGGTGCATCGTGCTCTTACGGTGGTGGTTCCATTTACCGTGGCCAGTTCAGCATTGACGACGAGCCAATTCCGACTGTGAACTCTTCGACACCAGCAGTGAGGCTCAGCAGCAGTGGCTATGGTGACGAGATCACGGCCTGGTCGTACATGGTGACGGGTACGTCGAACCCGACGCAGCAGCATTACATCAACTCGTACAAGCAAAACCTTGCGGCGGCTGATTGGATTAGTGACAAGACTGGCGTTGATGTTTGGGTGTACTCGCTGACGTACGTGTACTTTGAGCAGTACCTCACTGTGATTGATGATGCGTACAAACTTATTGGTCTGGCTTTGGCAGCGATCTTTGCGATCACGACGCTGTATTTAGGTAGCGTGTTCTACTCGTTCGTGCTCTCACTGATGGCAACAAACCTTGTGGTACTCGTGCTGGGTCTGATGCAGCCGCTGGACATTATGCTCAATGGTCTGTCGATTGTGAACCTGATTATTGCGGCTGGTATTGCTGTGGAGTTTTGTGGTCATTACGTTCGGTTCTTCGCCAAGACGCGTGGCACAGGCGATGAGCGTGCCCGTGACGCACTTCGCCAAGTCTTCACGTCAGTAATTTTTGGTATCACTATCACGAAGATCATTGGTTTAAGTGTGTTGACTCTTGCGGACTCGCGCGTGTTCAAGAAGTACTACTTCCGAATGTACATGCTAGTGGTACTTTGTGGTGTGTTGAATGGCATGCTTCTGCTGCCGGTGCTGCTAAGCACGATCATTGACGTGAAAGACTTTTTCCAGCGCCGGGGCTCGCAGAAGACTGATTTAAGACCATCACCTGTTACTCGCGTTGGATAACCCCATTCGTGTGTCCTGTGCATAGGCTAAATGTGCATATGAAGGCACTACTGCTCCCAGCCCAAGCAAGCGGTGTTGGATAGCAATAGAGAACCAAATTAGTGTCTGCTAAGTATCGGTCGTTACGTAGAATAAATGACATTCCCCACAAGTAGCATCTAAACTTTTTATTTTGCTCATGTCGACTCGAATGAGTTTACTTTTCGATGTTGTTCATGCATCTACATATGCATTCAAAACTTGATCGTCTATTCTGTGTTGGTGACAGCGGCCAATTCAGGAAATTTGGGTGCTCGAGCATCAAAATCACCAGTTAAGAAAGCAGCGGATAACTGGCCGATGGCTTGGAGAGCGCGAAAGTGATCAATTTTGCCGGCAGACTTCATGAGGCGGTTGATTATCGGAGAAAACACTGGGATGTCCGAGAAATTGTTGTGTCTTGTGCCGCGCAACCACGTGAGACGTGATTGCGTATGGGTGCACCCACGCCCATGACGGTCAATACTCTCAGTATTTAGACGCCAGTGAAGAAAGTGTTCTGACAGCATATGAAGGGCAGGGACGCGTGAGCCCAGTCCATCGCGCACGTCATCATCAAGTGGCTCCATCCATGCGTCCAGCAGCACCATCTTTTTAAAACGCACGTCTTGATGTGCCACTGTCAGTGCTGTAGCCGCTCCAAATGAATGTCCAGCTACACTCACGTTGTCAAGATTACACTGCTTGAAGACGCTCTTTGCAGTGGTTTCTTGCTTGATAATAGCATCCAGCACGGAACGAACTTCACGAACTCGCTGCTGCAGTTGTCGGTTACGAAAGCGAAAACCTGCGCCATCGATATTATCTCGTACCTCGGGTGTAACTTGTTGGTAGTACTCAATCCGACCAGGCTCTGGACTGCACACGCACGCTGATCCGTCGCTGTGGTTAGGCACCACCACCACGTATCCATGACTTGCAAGTTCCTGATTCACGTACGAATAAAGCTCGAGTGACCCAGCAAGCCCATGACTGAAAATTACTATGGGCCAGTCATTTGATGAAGCTACTGGTGCATCTTGGAGTGCAGCCAACCGCGCATTGTTCATATTGTGAAAGAGCCATGACGGTAAATTGACAAAGACACCAAGTCCTGTCATGACATGATGACCATGATGAAGATAGGATACAAAACTCTTAGTAGTAGTGCCAGTCTTTAGATGATTGTCGTCGTCTATTGACGGATAAAACACACGGCATTCGACACCACCGAGACGGACCGTACGACAGCCAATTGTCTGATAGGGACCATGTAATTGAGAAAAATCTGGCCAGGGAAAGAGGAACGATGAGATCCAAGCTAGAGGTATGAAAACAAGAGCTATAGAGTCAAATGTCCAATGAAGGGACCAAGAAGAAATGACATTGGAAGACCAGATCAACAAGAAGAAGAAGAGACGTAGACTGAGAGACACATAAAGAGGTAAAAGTTCACGTCTTGGAGAATGAAGAGTCAAAAATAGACACACGAGACCCCAAGAGATAATTTGAAGTATCAGATTGGGAGAAAAAATAAACTCGAGAGCGAATGGAGTCGTACATGCGCTTAATAAAAGACGCTCATTTAAGTGGCGACGCATTATCAAGGAGAACTGTATGATGTCAATCAAGAGACAGGGGTATTGCTCCGTATCCGATTGGATAAAAATAAATATCGTAACATTGCGTGACATAAAGCCATGACAACAATCTATTGCGATAACGTCAATTTTAATTGGAATTGATGGTAATTTATATGCTTTATAATTTCTTATAGAGTTACTTGTTATCTATTAAGTGATCGAATACCAGATCATGTCCACGTTTATTGTCTCTCTTTATGCGCATTCGCTTGGCACGTGAGATGTAGCGGAGCTACACAGCTCTTGATGGATATGCGCTTGCGTGGTTGAGTGCAAAACGCAAAGTGAATTAATCTAGGTCCTTAGTTCACTAGTAGCTGACGGATGCCGCGAAAGCATCCGTCCAAGGCCTAAGCTAGCATTAGCTCGGGAGGGAGTTACTCCAACCCGACCAGGATCCGAATACTGTATCTTGCTTAATACCTCCTTACAGCGATATCAAGAATGCATTTATGCAATATCCATAGAGTTACAAACATGACACAATTGAATAAACCGTCGTGTAACCCTGTTACAATAAAGCACCTCAAACAACTTCGGCATATACCAGTTTGTGATTACAGCTTGAAGGTGGGTTATCGTAACATGCGCTAGAAACTCTGGCGCATGCTACGATCCCTGGTCCATGTTACGATCCCTGGAGCAGGCTAAGGTCAAGGAATCTGTTGACCTTAAGGATGATGGTATCCCAGGTACTCTATAAGGTACGGTCTCGTCAATGGGACGTCAGCGCCGTCAGATGGCGGCTGCGAGACGCAATGCGTCTGTTTTATCACGTAGTGATGTCCGTGACTAGTTATATACCCTGGTCAGCGGAGTTAAAGGTGACGTAGATGGTGACGCTGACCTTGAGGCCCTTCCATCATTAAATGCTCCCTTAGATCTAGACGAAATGTCTGTGGACGAGTTTCATCAAGCCTTAAGGGCTGGTGATCTACCCGATATGGTGTTAATTCGACCTATCCTCGTGTTGAACTTGTGGTGGAGTGGATTCTCAAACAACGTAGGAGAACCACAAACACACATAGCGCCGGAATGCCGACTTACGGAGAGGGTACCCCGATACCGTGTCACTTCAACCTTGGGTCTCACCTTGTGTACCCGTCGGCTTGGCTGGTCTTGCTCCTCGTTAGACGCAGAAGACTTAGGGACTTGGTCCTTGTATGGAAGGACTTGGTGGTCCCCGAGTGAATATACTTCACTCGGGCCCGGGTTTTCTTGGGTCCAATCGACTGAGTCGAGAGCATTGCACCTGGTACTACGTACCCCTTTCGGTGTCTAACTGTTTCTTGGTCCTTGGACCCCTGTCTCTTTTTCCCCGTAGAGAAATCGCTTCCTGTAGCGGGTCTTGAGGTGGTGCTACTCGAGAAGAACCCACAGGCCAAAATACTTCCTGGGGTTCGTTCGAGCTTGAATCTTACCACACGACTGTCTTCAACGGGGGGGGGGGGGGCAAAATAAATCCCTTCCCCGGAACAGGTGGGTAGATCGCAACAAGCTCGCACTTGAGTCTTGACACTTACTTGACACCTCAGGCCAACTATCCTGAGGTTCAACTTGCGTTGCTTGAGCCGTCACCACACCTGACGTCGAAAAAAAGGGTATCCCGCCCGAAATAGGTGAGGTGACGGAGAAGAGATTGTAGGGGGCGCTTAGAGCTGCCACGTGTAATGCAAATTCGAGTGTGTTCATTTATCTTATTCTCTGTATGCATTTCTTGCCTTACCCTTACCCTTCGCTCTGGATGGTACCACGTGTCAGCTTGTGAAAGATCAACTGGCTCTTTTAGGACATAAAAATTGTACCAGCTCTGCACTTTAGGGAAGCCTTGTACCTTCTATAACCTTGGGTCACCTGGGGTACCGGGTCACCTTGGTTCACCTGGCCACCTGGTCACCTTGGGTCCCGGTTCACCTTGGGTCACCCTGGTCCACCTTGGGTCATCCTGGTCCACCTTGGGTCCTGGTCCATTTGGGGTGTACTTCGGGCTCTTGGATTTGCCGGATCTGCATTGTAGGATATCCTTAAACCTTCTATGACTTCAGGACCATGGACCTTCAGTGTTCCTGTCACTGGCAACTGGTACCCCTGTCCCTGGTGACTGGCACCCCTTTTCCCTGGTGACTGTTACCCCTGCCCCTGGTGACTAGTATCCCTGTCCCTGGTGACTGTTACCCCTGCCCCTGGTGACTATAACCCCTGTCCCTGGTGGCTGGTACCCTGACCCGGTGGTCGAACACGGGTTTCCGCATACACAGACATCGGTCGGGCAGGGGTTCCCGATTCTCAACGAGGCGGTCGAGCAGGGGCTCCCGCATACAAGCACATCGGGCGAGCAGAGGCTCCCGATCAATATCGAGGCGGTCAAGCAGGGGCTACCGCAAACAAGTGAAGCGGTCGAAGACGAGCTCCCGCTTTTGATTGACGAGAATGGGCGGACTACGGATCCGCATGAGACCGACGTGGTGGAGACAGAGCTCCCACGTCTAGAGGGCGGTACATCATCCTCTTGTGATAGCGACATGCCAGTCTTGATCAGGGGCTCGAGACGAAAGAGAAAACGCAAGAAAGGAGCACGCCGATCACCGAGACGACGACATTCACGTCAAAAAGCTGATGCAGATGATTCCGTAATGGCCGAATCCGTATGCGCGCTTGAATATGTGGAGGGATCCCCACATCGTGGCCGCTACATCGAGGTAGCGAGACCACCATGCACTGCTGCAGAGATCACATCTCTGTCAGACCTTGCATGGAAAAAATTCATTCACGACCTCAAGGCCGGCGACATCGAGCAAGTGTGCATCGTTTCAGCCACCGAAGCAGCCATTGAAGAAGTTCTGGAGGCCCTCCCAAAGAGTGCCGAGCCTAAATCAGCGCGCGAAGATCGCTTCGCTGCACAGTCTTGGGATGCTCTTCGTGATTCGGGCAACCCTGTATACAATATCGCCCGTGAGTACGCCGATATTCTACCGGAGAAAATTCCAGCTGAGCTTCCGGCGGATCGTGGTGTGCGGCACGAGATAGATCCCGTGCCAGGATCGAAGTATTGCGTGACACGGCAGTGGCCGTTACCGCGTGATCAAGTCATCGCTATTGATGAATTTTTTCGAGGGTCGCCGCAAGGCTGGCCATGTCCGCGAGAGTATCTCGCCACATTCGAGTCCGACTTTCTGTGTGAAGAAAGCCACCGGCGGTTGGCGCATTGTGCACGCCTTCAACAAGCTGAATGACGCCATGATCCCGGCTCAGACGCCTATCCCTCAAAAAGACATGGTAATAAATACCATGTCCGGGAGCGAGATATACAGCGCCATAGATCTGACAGACGGTTTCTATCAGATCCTCATGAGAGACAGTGACATTCCGTTCACTGCGGTCAGCACCCCAACGAGATGCTTTGGGAGTGGTTAGTCATGCCACAAGGTCTTAAGAATGCTCCAGCTACGTTCAATTGGATGGTGACACAAGTACTTCGCTCACTTCGCGACTTTGCACTGAGCTACTTTGACGACATTTTTGTTCACAGTCGCGCTGAGAAAAGCTCAGCGCTACGGAGGTACACCTTCTACACTTGAAGCGGGTGTTTCAAGTTATGCGCGAGAGTAAATTGTATGCGAATTTGAAGAAATGTGTCTTCTGCGCTCCCGATATTCCAGTACTCGGTTGTTACGTCAGCAAGGAAGGTGTCCGCGCTGATCCTGAAAAGATCTCATCGATCTGTTCCTGTCCAACGCCCAGGAACCAAACTGAATTACGTCAATGGCTCGGTCTGTCGAATTGCTTGCATAAGTATACAAAGAACTATGCTGAGCTAATTCAGCCATTATCGACTTTGCTCAAGAAAGATGCAGTATGGTTATGGACGGCAGAACATCAATCTGCCTTCGACTCCGTAAAGAAGAGCTTGTCCGAGGCACCGGTGCTGATGTTACCTGATGACTCTAAGCCATTCCACGTCGTATGTGACGCGAGCAATTTTTCTATAGGATGTGCCCTCATGCAATTTGATGACGAGGGTCGAAAGCGCGTCGTGAGTTTTCAATCACGACAGATGAAACCTGCAGAGAAAAATTATCTGTTACACGACAAAGAACTTTTGGTGATGCGCTACGCGCTAATCAAGTTAAGAGTATATTTGCTCGGCGAAAATATGTTTCTATCTACACAGATCACGCATCATTGCGTACCGCCGTCAAGAGTCCTCACTTGTCCCAGCGTATGGCACGGTGGCTGTCATTTTTCGCAGAGTATAATTTTGTAATACATTACAAGCCTGGCAAGAATAAAATTCTCGCTGACACGCTTTCTCGTCGTCCTTATTACGATCCTCGGCACGACATCGATCATCAAACGGAGAATGTTGATGACGACGAAGATATCTGTGTGGTGGAGTGGATTCTCAAACGACGTGAGAGAACCACAAACACACATAGCGCTGGACTGCCGACTTACGGAAGGGGTACCCCGATACCGTG